GAGCAATCAAACTCCTCTGAATTGGTTCACTTCAGATCTGCTCAGATGCAGAGAAGCAGCTCCGAATTTTGATTTCAATCTCCATCTGGCGACCAATTCATGCAAGTACAGCTTTTATTTCCAGGGGATTGTTGGCCAGGACAGAGAGAGAAATTCCCTTCTCTTTTCGAGTAGTGCAAAGGGATCTGTAACATCCATCGAGGCAGACTGGACCCTGGTTTAGGATCTCGTGCTAAGGATGGCATCTCTGACGATGTAGTGCTTCCCCACAACACTGTCCGGGATTGTCAGGCTGGACTGTGAGTTCAAAGTTCCTGAAGTGGACGTCCCAAGGCGCTGAACAGTCAGGGATTAGGACCCGAGTGGAAGGGGGCGAAATCAGCGGCAAAAGTGCTACCGACTGAGCCAGGCTGACACACCAAGTTATTACAGCTACTAATAATTAGGACAGAGTGAGTGAGTGCGGTTGATATCTCGTGGCACAGTACGGCCACTAGATGTCTACCACACTCTCTCTGTAGATCCCATATTCCCGCTGGAGCAATCACCAGGGCTGCTGGAGAACACTGACCAGCACAAATTCGGACGCTGACAATAACACCTCGTCAGCTGACCGATAAGGCCAAATGAAGCAAAAACAAGCAGAATCGTGGAAACATTTTTAAAATTCAGTCTCTCTTTCGGAAACCCGCTCTTTCGCTTTCTTTCCTCCACAAACAAAAGATCGGAAAATTGCGAATTTGAATGGAACCGAATTTAAGAATTTTCCCCCCATAATTAGGCACCAAATTTACATTTGGAAAAAAAAAACAAATGATCTTCAGGCTAAAACAAGGTGGGATTTACAGCCACATGTTTTGTTTTTGCATACCATTTCCAAGGACTGATTTGAATCAAAGTCCTCTCCCTGGTCACAGTCATCAAGACTTACTAAGTAATATCCACAACAATAATAATAATAATCCTTTCATTTGATATAGCACCTTATCACATCTTCAAGACACAAGGACATAAGAAATGCTAGATAAATAAAGACCAAGGTACATCTAGTTCGCCTTCCACCTCCTTAATAATAATAATAATAATCCTTGCATTTGATATAGTGCTTTTCACGTCGGAAGGACGTCCCAAAGCGCTTCACAGAACACACTGTAAAGTGAATTGACTGTATATTTGTAGGCGAACGCGGCAGCCAATTGCGCACAGCAATGTCCCACAAACAGTCGTAGATTGAAAATGACCAATTTATTATTGTTTTTGGTGTTGAAGGATTATTATTAGGCTCTGTGTGGAGTAAGGAAACTTGCCCAAGGTTTCGCCCTCTGCCTGGAATTGAACTCAGGTCTCTCGCTTGCAAAGCGAGTGCTCTAACCACTGAGCTACAGGACTCCTTGGTGGTCACATGCACATATGTCCCAAACTCCCCACGTACTATATCCCATAATGTTATTTCCTAAAAGAAGACTATCTAATCCGCGTTTGAAAGAATCAACATTTCCTGCTTCAACCGTCTCCCTCGGGAGCCTGTTCCACAGGTTCACTATTCGCTCACTGAAATAGTGTTTGAGTAGATTTATTCCAAGAGATCACAAAGCGTTTCACAGAATATACTGTAAAGTATAATAATAATATATTATATAATATAGATCTCTATAATTTACAGTAAAACAAAACTCCCTGGGAAGCACCTTTGAGACACCCTCCCGACATGAAAGGCTCTATATCAAAGGCAAAGATTATTATTAATTAATGACAGTAAAATCCTGTGAAGTGCTTTGAGACATTTTCAACATCAGAACGTTTCAAATGCAAGGATTACAGTTTGCTGGTTAATTGGTGACCAGGTTAGGCAATCAGATGTCGACAATGGATTACGTTTTCTGCTCCAGAAAGTCTAATGCCCCCTCTTTACAACTGAGAAGACTGTTGAGTGTCACAGAAATGAATAAAATGAATGCCTGACCCAAACGAGAGCAATTTGTTCACAATCGACTCAATTCTTCAGAAGGATCCACTTAAAGTCGAATGCACCAAGGCAGGAAGAAAGCTGCCCGAATGGCCTCCCTGTGTGTTCGTATTTCTCCACGACTCCATTTAATAATAACGTATATGCATCACAGCCTTCCTAATTGCAGTCATCACACTTCACTGACACAATTGTTCGGGGATGAACATCCCACCTCAGTCCACGTTACCCAAATTGACGCTCTGATAATCTGGCAAACGGCTGGAGGTGATTGCTCTGAATTAATCGTGAATTACTCTTTGATTGCGTTAGAATGTGGTGATTCCATGTCGAGTTCCATGCAACCCCTTTCCCACCCGCTTTCCCCACCAATTATTCAATGAATAGGGAATCATTAGAGTCATTGACCACTGTGCGAATACATTACAGTCTGCCTGTGAGGTACAATCACTTTAGTGCTTTAATTCCTTTTGATGAGCCACACAGTTTTTGAGGTGCCAAAGGCAGCAACACACAATGGGACTAATTCCTGGACAGTGAAGTACACAGTCAATTCACTTTACAGTGTATTCTGTGAAGCGCTTTGAGACGTCTCGAAGACGCGATAAGGCGCTGTATCAAACTCTCTGGGACGCTGCCCTGTACAAAACCTACAAAGGGCCCTATACAAATGCAAGTTGTTGTTGTAGTCATTTATTATTACGAACCCCACAGTTGAAACTTTCCCTCCAGTGCAGTGCTGGGGGAAAGCTACGCTGTTGGAGATACTGTCCTTTGGATGAGACGTTGACCTAACGGGCAGGCAGACGGGAGCCCGGTTAACATCTCATCCGAAGCACGGCACCTCTGACAACGTCACCATCGGAGGTGATGCGCTGCTAAAATCTCCTGCCGAAGCATCTTGGAGTTGAACTCGTTGCTCGTGTGGGTTTACAATGGAGCGAGAGCACTATCTGCTGGTTCCGATAAGTACTGTTGCGGCTTTTCTATTTATCCCAAATATTCAAGTTCCTACTAAAAGATTCCTGGTCGCGCTTTCATGAATAATGCCTTTGAATCTTCCTTCTGTCACAACAGGGTCATGGTGCACATACATATATATATTTATATACTTAACATCTCATCTGAAGGCCAGCACCTCTGACAATGCATTGCGTACTGTACTGGAGCTCAGCCACTTCAAATCCTGACGCGGGGCTCGAACAACAACCACAAAGAACAAATTACATTTAAATAATGTCTTTTCAGGTCAGGTGAACCCACAACCTTCTGACCCAGAAGCGAGAGTGTTACCACCGAGCCAAGCCAGTAAGTGTGACATACTGTTACTCTACATCAGCTGGAATTATTTTAAGCGTGCGTGGGAAAGGGGTGGGTGGGGGCGTTATTTTAACGCCCCCAAAATCTTCAATGTGAAATGGCTTTCCTCCGGTCACAGGATTTCACCTCTCAGCTTGGAAATCCCGTTAGTGGGAATTAAAGCTTTAAACGATGTAGGTGCGGCGTGTGGGGGNCGTAGGGTGCAGAGCGAGTGAGAGAGAGAAGTGATGACCCACTTACTGCATATTCTCTTAATAAAGAGTTGACTTACATTTGCAGCTCTGTCACACTAGCCTAAATGTTAGGATTGTAACAGTTGTCAAGCAGGTCATAACCCCGTTACCGGCACTAATCAGCAGTACTTTATTTCCTTTATTTCCTGTGAGCATTACAGAGTAGAGCTACGGATAGCTGCTCTGTGAGAAGATAGCCCCCTCAAAGGTACTGCTTCCAGCCCCACTGACCAGGATGATTTTGAAGCAGATAACGAGAATCGTTCCCCATTTTAATGTAGAAAAAAAGTTTGATAGAATAATCCTTGCATTTGATGCAGCATCTCATCACGTCATCGAAAGGCCTCAAAGCGCTTCACAGGATGTAAAGTGAATTGACGATAATATTGTGTGGGTGAAACGTGGCAGGCAATTGCCCGAATGACTTGTGCTGGCTGTCGTGGATGTCACTTTACTTGGTTGCAAGGCTGTTGTTGGCAGATGTGTGTGCGTGAGATTAATTAATAATTTAACACAGCAACAAAAAAAANGTTGCAATTTATGCCATGTCCTTTACAATAGGATCATGTCTCGGAGCACTTCCCAATAGTGGAGATGGATGCCGAGGTGGGAAGGAAGGAAAGAGGGGAAGGGTGACCCTAGGCAAGGGGGCAAGAGGTAGATTTGATGGGAAACACGGTGGGATTCGAAGATGGATGGAGAGAGGGGTGAGTGGAGGGGGGATTCGAGGCAGGGCATTCCAGAGGCGGAGAGCGGACCAATTTGGTTGCTGGTTCTTGTCACTCAAGTTGTGTGTGTGTGAGAGAGAGAGAGAGATGAATTAATAATTTCACGCAACAACGCTTGTATTTATACCGTATCCTTTACGAAGGATGAGATCAGAGGCGCTTTGGCATGGAGTGATTAATGTGCGAGGAGCCTGAAGTCAACAACAACTTGCATTTATACAGCATGTCAGACCATTGCAATGGAGTCCGTGTGTTAATAATAATTATTATATATGTGTATATATAATATATTACAATTAAAAAAAAGTGTACTTGGAAATCCTGGCAGTCAGTGAAAGAAGCATTCGGATGGAGTTAGAGTTTGGGACAGAGAGAGATAGACAGAAGGGGGTGGGGGGGGGGAAAAGAGCAATAAACAAACAAACCATTGCACCAAAGGAACCCCTTCTCTAACGTGAGCGAAGAGCAAGTGACAGAGGGAACCCAGGCACTGCAGTGGCAATCGGCAGCGATAGCTGGCAGGATAAGTAGAGGGAGGGAGGGGGTGGGAAAGAGATTATGAATCGTTTATTCTCCGTGATCAGCTCATGCCTGTATGTGAACGTGTGCCGCATGAGCCAGGCAGAGGCGACAGGCAGCAGCCCCGACACAGCAGCACTCGCCCCTCAGAGCCAGTCAGTAAACTTTCAGTCCGACAGAAGCCTGGAGCGGAGTGGGGTGTCCCTCTGTCTTTTTGCCGATCTGAAGTTGGAAATGGCCACAGCGAGCGCCTCCTCTCCCTTCCTCAAGCCCTTCGCTCTCAGATACTCGGTGGGCTCCAGCCCGGGTCGTCAGAGACGCCACACGCTGCCGGCCAGCGAGTTCAGAAACCTGAGTCTCCAGGATGCCATCAGCGTCTTTGAAATTGAACGTGAAGGTAAGGACTTTTCCTGCTGCTCTTTCTCTCTTGCTCTCCCTCTCTCTCGCTCTCTCTCTCTATAAATATATAGTTTAAACCCCAAGGACCTCGCAGTTGCCTGTCTATCTCCAGGGAGACAGAAAATATCATTTGTTTCAAGAACAAATTAGATAGGCTTCTGCTAGAAAATAATATCTCAGGGATATATATATAATATATATGTCAAGTGGCGGAAGGTGAGCTAGATGGACCTTGGTCTTCTTTTGCTTAGCAAGTTCTTATGTCGCCCACTTTTACCTCCTTAATTTTTGCCCACAAAATAGACGTGATAAGGCGCTATCTCAAATATGAGGATTATTATTATTAATAATAAGATTTGTTTTAAAACACAAACCCTCTGTGTGTAAATTATATCTGGGTTTCTCGTTTGTTTTGGAAGAAGTTTCCTCAATTTTTTTTGTTTCTGAACTACACGGATTTACAGAGTTTGAATTTAATTATTGGTACACAGGTATAATTTACCCCACCACCACTCTAACCCGCACACTGACTAAGGTTAGCGCGGAGAGTCGGTACACAAGTTAAGTTTAAATTTGTACATGGCAAGCTGCATGATATTTAGAATTTAGTGTCCGACTACTTTTTTTTTTTTGGTTGGCTTTTAGCTTTTATTTCCGTCTCGGGAGAGTGCCCTTTGCACATGGATGAAGTGAGACACTTTCTCGAGCTGTGTCCGGAGCTGTCGCTGGGCTGGTTTGAGGAGGGCAGACTAGTAGCCTTTGTCATTGGCTCGGGATGGGACAAGGAGAAACTTTCACAGGTGAGTTAGACTCCTTCTCGCTCGCTCTCTGTCTATCGCTGCTCTACTGGCAACGCCAACCTCGCAATGCCAGAGTTTTCTGGCACGCGAGTTAATTTTGAATAAAATGTATTCTGTACTCCAATGCGGTCTTGTTAACCCATTATGTAGAATTAGTCGAAGATGCTGAAATAAAATTAACAACTCACTCCAATTTTTTTTTTTTTTTTAAAAATCAAAGTGATGTTAGAAAGTTATTACTCCAAGTCAGTGTTCTGTTGAATTTAACTGTTCAGATTTGGTCTCTTTAGTTTAAGTTGTTCCTATCCGTTTACATGTTTATCTTCAAAATCGCAGGCACCCCACTTTACGTTAAAATCCTGAGAAGCGCTTTGAGAGGTTTCCGATGATGTGATCGGAGGCACTATATCAAATGAAATTATTATTGACGTTCTCAATATATTAATAGAGTAATATCTCTCTGTGGTTGAGAGAAACACCGATAATATTCAATTTCTTGTCCCTATATTAGACGCGAGCAATATTAGTTATATCCATGAATTTACTTTCACTGTGGGGACAGGAAACGTGAGGAATCTGATCGGCTGCGATAAACAGACCCTTTGTGTGTGTGTGTGTGTGTGTCCCTCTTTCTCTCCCTCAACAAAAACATTGACAATGCGATGAAGGAGATGCAAATCACCAGCAAAGCCACACAGAGAATTAAGGACCTACTTAAACCGGCAACGAGTCACCTTGCCAGTACTTAAAAAAATCTTGCATAATCCGAGTAATCCTTGCATTCGACTTTCATGTCGGGAGGACGTCCCAAAGCCTTTCACGGGATTTACTGTGAAGTGAAGTGACTGTGTATTTGTAGGCAGATTCGACGTAACGAGGCTGGTTTTCGTTAGGTGGCACTTCCATCCTACTTTACGCAGGATGCACGTAAAATACATCCTTTATCTTGTAAAGTAGAACTTATTAAAAATTAAAGTTCGGAGTAAAGTTTGGAACGTACTTGATAACTTCCACCTCGGCACCACTAAAAAACACACACACACACACACCAAGAGAGAGGCATCAACCGAGCCAAGCCTGACACTAAACTATTGATCTGATTTCAGCTTCAAAACCACTCGACTCTCTCGCTCAGAACCTACCCCGTAAATATTAAACACAACAGTTAATTGAACAGTAGCGATATGTACAGCCTTTGGAACCCATGTCGGCAAGTCCAAGTCGCGAGTTGTCAGCTTGGATGACGACAGCTGTTGCAACTTGCTGAATATTTCACTGTAACCAAGTTTGCCATGACAGTAGAAATAGGAGGCCATTCAGCCCCTTGAGCCTGTTCCGCCATTCTATAAGTTCACGGCGGATCTGTAGCTCAAGTCCAATTAACCGCGTATCCCTCGACACCCTGAACTAACACATACGTGTCCACCTCAGTCTTGAAAGCGCTGAGAAGTTGGATTGTTGATGGAGCTCCAGGTGTTTAGATACGAACGAGCTAACGTTTCGATTGCCCGCAGGATGCCTTGACCATTCACGTTCCGGACGCTCCCACCGTCCACATCCATGTGCTGGCCGTCCACCACAAGTGCCGTCAGCAGGGGAAAGGCTCCATCATCCTGTGGCGGTACTTGCAGTATCTACGGTGCCTGGCCATGGTCAAGCGGGCCGTCCTCATGTGCGAGGACTTCCTGATCCCTTTCTACCAGAAAGCCGGCTTCAAGGACATCGGACCGTCCGGCGTGGCGGTGGGCCCGTTAACGTTCACCGAGATGGAATACACGCTCGGAGGAGGAGCTTACCTGCGCAGAAATAGCGGCTGCTAAATGCGTGACCCGAAGGTTAACACGATTCGAGAGGTGTGCGCGTATGCGCGCGCATGTGAGTGTCCCTAAAAAAAAATCTCCTCTACAAAACGCACAGTAGTTCCACATCCGTCCTTGTTCAAGTTAATGCAACGAATGTAATCCTTAAAAAAAATGATTCCCCCGCCCCCCCCCCCCCCCATCTCATCCCACCTAAAGTTGGATCTCAGGGGGAGAATAATTCCTTCAAAAAGTAAAAATTAATAATAATTCGGTCACTCAATCCAACACTGTTTTTTGAGACACCGCTGTGCGCAATTGGCTGCCGCGTTTCGCCCGCAAAAATGTGCAGTCAATTCACTTTACAGTGTAGTCCGTCTCGAAGGTATGATAAGGCGCTATGTTTATTAAAAAAAAGGTTATTATATAACTCCATACGTTAGGAAAAGGTTTGGAAAGAGCTTTCTTCGCAGTACGGTAAAAATCGTAAATTCTCAGACCTGGGGGTCGTCGGGGTGGGGGGTGGGGGGGGGGGAACTTGTTCAGCTTTTTGAAAGTATTTTTGGGGGGCAAAAGGAGTGAAGCAGTCAAGTGTTGGGGAGGGGTTGAGGGGGCGGGGGGGTGGCAGGGGTGAAGGGACAGTTAAGTCCAGCCCTGCCATCTGGGATAGCTTGTGACCACAGCTCTGTCTGGAAGAATATACTTAAATGGATTTGACAGTAGCAGATTGGTAACGGGGTTATCAGGTGAAGGATTATCTTATTAGAGTGAGGAAGGGGCGGGTGACAGCATAACTGTTTCAACGTAGAGCTCATGTTGTAACACTCGAAAGAACCACTCGTGGCAAACAATTCTGCGTTCATCATTTAAGGGGGGGTTTCATTCACTTTTGTTTTAAAAAAAAGGAAAGGAATCCACCTAAAGTCGTTGCATAAACAGAAGTACCCGAGTCCTTCGTCATAAGAATTCTGACCGGAATTCAGCGGTTAGAGCACTTGCCCTCGCAAGCGAGAGACCTGGGTTCGATTCCCCCGGCAAGGCAAAATGTTGGGCAAGTTTCCTCACTCCACACACTCGCCTCTGTTTTCCCAGCAGTAAGTAGGAACCCGGTTGTTAGTCGATTGGCAAATCGCTTTCCCGGGGATAATAATCCTCAAAAAANGACCCCCAATAATTTGGTCACTCAATCCTCGACTGTTTGCGGGGACGCTGCTGTGCGCAATTGGCTGCCGCGTTTCTCCCACAAATACAGTCAATTCACTTTCCAGTGGATCCTGTGAAGCGCTTTGAGACGTCTCAACGACACGATAAGGCACTATATCAAATGCAAGTATTGCTATTATAAATTGTCACACGCACGTGTAATTTTTTGGGGGGGCAGTCTTGACTCGAGTTTAAAAAAAAGACCCAGGTTTAAAAAAATAAACATTAAGACAATTTTTTTTTAAAACCTATGTCTGGAAATACATCCCAAATCTCGTAAAATAGTCAGATTTCAGGGCGATTCATGTCTGCACCTTTACTTAGCGATGTCACGGTCTGTGCTGTAGTGTTTTGCTGGTTGTTAAAAACAGATAAAGGTTTCCGTTCTTCAGCACTTTAACCCTTACCTTTCTTTGCGAGCGGACATCGAACAACTTGCAAGATCGTTGTTCAGTATAACTGTTGAACCACCATATAGATTCTACGGAGTGACTCTTTAGTGTTTACAATGTGTTGGCAAATTGGTTTTGCTCCGTCAGCTATTTTGCGGCTTTTTGTGCACGTGCTTGTGACTTCTTAAGTCTATTACTCCAATTGGAAAAAACATTTTAGAAGTAGAGACAGTGAGCATTTCGTAACGAGTTACACGATTTTCTCAAAGGCTGAATTAATCACCAGATAGTAATTTTTTTTAAATTTAAAAACCTATTGCACTCCTGTGACAGACTAGAGTCAGATACATAGGGAGTCTTAAGGCATTTGCTGGAAAAGTAATCAGAAATGAACTCATGTCCCACCAGTACTGGGAATGCTTTCCAGCGTAAGACGTTTTGCGTACAGCAATTCAGGCCATCAAGCTTCAATTCAACATGTAAGGCAATTGATCCCTGCTGTCGGAACATTCCTTCCCTCTTTGGAGTTACTGGAGAGACGGAACATCCTTAGATTTCCAGTCCAGTGGTTCGTATTCATACATGAAGCATTTTGATACAATTGGCTGCCGCGTTTCCGCCACAAAACACAGTCACTACGCTTCACAGCGTATCCTGTGAAGCGCTTTTGAGATGTCTCGAAGACGTGATAAGGCGTTATATCAAATGCAAGAATTGTTAGGTTTTTAAATCAGCGATAGGTAGGAGCCATTAATGTATTGGAAATAGGAGAGCACAGGTCTGATTTCTGTGTATAATAGGTACGTGTAAGTGAAATAAAAAGCAAACCATCAAGTGAGAAGCAGAAATAATCAAAAATAGATTTTCCTTCTGTTCCCCCCACCTCCCGATTTATTATTTCAAGGTGGGTATTTTGCAGGGTGAGGAGTGAGTGAGCGAGTAAAAAGGAAGACAGCACAAAGCTCTCCCACCTGAAGCATTACTATTAAATAAATTGATTCAAGAATTCTCATTTACCCGCTTCTCTGCCCAGTTTCAACCCTGACTCCATTCCAGTAATTGTTAAATGTGTAACCTTAACGACACTTTTCGGAACGATGAAACAAAGGGTTTGCCAAATCTCAGCAAAAACTCTGCTATTTTACCATACTCATTCAGTTAAACAATCAAAAACCCATCAGAGACTACACATTCAGAGCCCTGCATTGAGCCCAAAGGGATCAGAAACACATCATATCCTGGGGAACCATTAAAACTACTATTTTATTGTCGTTGATAATGTTCAAATGATGTGCAATTTATATGCCTTGCTTCAGTGAAAACCTGTACATTGCCAAAATGTTGGTACAGTGTCTGATTTGTGACTGGATGGATGTAAACTATATAAAAAAATATATATATAGTATGCAATGTTTTCTTTGTACTTGTATCATTTTTCAATAAAATCTCAGTGGATTGTCCCCAAATGCAAAATTTCAAGGACACTTAGCTGAAAGCAAAATCTTTTCTCCTTTTGCTACGGACGAAAAAAAAAAAAATCGAGGCCAGATATCGAGACGATAGGTCTTCAAGCTTTTCTGCAGACAAGCCAGTATTCGCAAGTGGTTCCAATTTTAATTCAGGTCATAGAAATCAAATTATTTACATTGAATTAGTAAAAACAAAAGTGCTTGTCGTATAGATTCAACAGTACGATGCATGTCCCACAGTACTATTCGAAAGGAGATGCTCGGTGTCCTGGCTAACAACACCACCCTCCAATAAAATGAGCCGCACACTTTATGGCTGTTTTTTTGCCACATTATGCTAAAGGCCAGTCAACTAATTCAGGATAGGTCGGAGTCAGGCTCCGCCACTGTTAAGCGCTCTGAGACGCTATCCTGCGTGGAGGGCGCTATAGAAGCGCAAGGTGTTGGATGGGAAACTTCACTAAATGGACGTGGTCTAAAACAGTGCGGCTACATTTTATAAAACGCTGGTTAGGCAGGCCTCAGCTGGAGTACTGTGTGCAGTTCTGGGCACCACTCTGCGATACGTGGTCCTCCGGAGAGTAAGCGTAAAGCAGATGTATCATAGAACAAAAAAATATCCAGAGGCTAATTCCGAAGTCTAGGTTGCAACGGTCACAAATTGGCTCACATAAACAGCGAATCCTGCAGTTTCCTGCAAGTGCTGGGAGATCAGTTCATACGCCGACTTCCTCCCCACCGCAGTTTCCACTGCCAATGAATTGAAGTCACCTGGCAGGAGACCCCTTTGGTTACTCTTCCAAATTACATCCCACAGGAGGCAACCACACTAAATCGTGCGTGTGTTTCTTTTAAAAATAACACACACACACACACAATTTTAAGCACGCAGTTCAGTCAGCAACTTGGGAAACAATTCAAGCATTCGACAAACTTCATAGAAATTCCACCGTAGTCTAGATTTACTCTATTAAACACAACACAGAGCACTCAGGAGGTCAAATTCTTAGATATAGTTTTTTTTTTCCCCTCAATTTTAAAGCCAGTTTTCTGTAAGTTTGTTAAAAAAATATATATTCTTGGACCCGGGTGTCAAAGTTGCAACTGCATTCAACCATTTGCGAAATTCTGCGCACTGTGTGAGTGAGATTTGGGGGGTGGGGGGAATTTCACATCACATATTCCTTAACATGAGACTGAACTGGTTTTTGAACACATTGAAGTCATTTTCAGAAGTGCCTGACATCTTCTTCAATTCTTTTACATTGTGGTAATAAATTGAGCCGTTAAAATCCTCAATTCGGCAAAAAAAAACAAGACCCTAAAACCTGCTGCAGATTCGAGAACATCTTAAACTTTTCCCAAACCCCACGCGGTTTAAAAACACAGCTCGACTGTTCAGACCGAAACTGTCGGGAAAATCTTCACCCAGAGCAAAATAACACAGAACTCACCAGAAATCGCAGAGGAAGAGGATGATGAGGATTTTCTGGAACAAGACTGGACTCTGGGTCACCCATTTCACACAATGAAAACTCACAAGAGCATTTAGCGTAAAATGTTCCACTCTCCCCCCACACTAACTAATGGTTCACTGTGTGCCTACTCGCTAATTGGCACTTCTGTGAGATGTTTAGTCAACGAGTCTTCTCTGATAAAAGGAAATTTCTTCCAACTCCACCCCCCAGAGAGACAGGTGGAGGCCAAATTGTAAGAAATGGTGATCAATTCATTAACTCCCCTTAAGGGTGGATCAATTTAGGATCCGGTTAGAACTAAACCCAGAGCTACATTTGCTCCTCAGGCTGATAACGTGACTCAGGTGGCAGCACTCTCCACTCTGAGCCGGAAGGTTGTGGGTTCAAGTCCCTCATCAGGATTTGGGCCCAACACCTGTGCTAACGTGCCCTTACGGTAACCGGGAGATTGTGGAGTTGTCAGAGGTACCGTCCGTCACGTGAGAAGCTAAGCCAAAGTTCTGGTTTATATTTAAAGATCCCACCGCACTATTTGAGAAGGGAAGGGAGTTTTTCCTCCTGCTTCCCGGCTTGAGAATCCTTCCGATTGTAAACGCATCGTGTGTAACGGGATTCCGTGATACTGCAAACACCATTTCCATTAGCATCTGTAAACGTAGAAACAGGAGGAGGTCATTCAGCCCCTCGAGTCTGTTCCACCACTCTATAAGATCATGGCTGATCTGCACCTCAACTCCAATTACCCGCCCTTTGCTCCGTATCCCTTGATGCCCCAACATAACAAAAAATGTAATGCTTCAGTGTGAAAACGGGGACATATTCAGTGTGAACAGTTTGCTCAAGAATTCACAATTCAAGATCCCTGTGGACATGTACACATATCAGAAGAACACATGACCCTTCCTCCAACGTATCAACAACACATTTAAAATGAGAACATAGTTATGAAATGAATCGGGTATTTTTTTTCGGGGGGGGGGGGCAGGAAAGATGCATTGGGCCAGCCAGTACGTACTTCTTTCTTTTAATTGATGCTCAAAACGTTTTCTATGGGAGAGAAAATCCTGAGTTATGTCGTATTAGGACAAATGGAAGACTTGAGTTTGTATTTAAAGAGTCGGTGTAAATTATCAAACACAGCGTCCAGTTATGATTCTCCAGCTGGTATTGCACTTGGTCTTCTTCGAACTGGGTCTTTCTGCTCAATTTCATGTACTCAAATTCACAATATACAGTTAAATTCCACCGCCAATGACATCCCCCCACCAACTCATCCCCGGTAAATGCCCAATTCCGAGTGTCACAGCACACGCAGACAATTTACTGTCTCCCCCACCCCACCATCACCTCCCCACACATACCATTTCCCTCACTTGAGGTTTTTTTTCCATCAGAACATAAAGCAAGTCATTTACTAATAGGAAATTGAGTGCAATATTGTATGAAATACCCCAATCCTGTGGGAGTAGTGACACAGTACCATGTGGTTTTATGACTCAGGCCTGCCAAATACAGCCAAGGAACTTTTTATTGTAGTCAGAAACAACGTAGTGGTTATAAACGGTCGACTTTCAATGGCAGATCCTATTTCGGGAGCTCGCAATACAATGCGTTCCCTCAAAATAAATCATTGTTGGGTTTGGGGCACGATCATTGTAACTGGATACAGTCCTACCTGGGACGGGTCCTGTTATATACAGTATGTATATATCTAAGTACCCCTGAGGTGCGACCTCAACAGTAAAAGATTTCTGGAGCCAAATAAGTGCAGGAGTGTGCATTTTGGAAGTGAACGGAAGGGATATTCGCTTTAAATATCTTTTTTTTTTAAAAATTCGATTTAATTCTTTTTCAATGCACTGTAAAAACAATCTTCTATCCTGGAGAGGGTGGAAAGGAGGTTGGGGGAGGGTGGGGGGGGGGGAGGCGGGGGTTCTGGGGTGGGATGGATGTTGCATCATTTTGTGGATGCTCTGTGTCCTTTCAAATAACCAGCGGAGGAAAGGATGACGGGTAACACATTACAAATAGACGTGGTAAGGTTTCCGATCGCGTACTCTGCAAAAGGCCTGCAGTCCAGTGGCTCGGTAGCTAAAACACTACCTTTGAATTCACTACCGCCTCGAACGGCGGTAAAAACGGTGCCGGTTTCAATTTCGTGCTACAAAGTAGTGTAATACAAAAAATTGGCAGCACAATAAAAACCTTGGTTCGAAAGTAATGGTGGGGGTGGGGGGGGAGGGAATGGGGTTGATGGGGGTGGGGTGGGCGTGGGGAGACGAGGGGGTAAAGGCACATTGCTTGTTTTTTTTGGAGATGTTTCAGCATCGAGTGCTAAATAAAACAACTTTACGATTTTTTTTCCGATAAAAAATAAAGGAACGGGAACTTCAGACCAGCGACGGCTTTGACCGATTGGGCTCGAATAATCGCCTTCAATGTCTCGGTGACAGAAGTTCTCACAGTCGCCGCAATGGCGAGGCGCGTCCTTCCCCCGGTCCAGTCTGTTCAATGTAGATGCGCGTTGAGGTCATATTTTTCGCAGAATTTATCCGTGAAGGGAATGCAAGTCAGGTATTCGCACCATTCGCACGTGATGGGGTAGACGTAGAACAACACGACCAGGCCCGCAAAAAGTCCCACGAACGTGACGAGGAAGATCATGATCTGACACCGCTTGCGGTACAAGTCAAACCTCCCGAAGCTGATGTACGGGAGGAAGGCGAATGACAGGAAGAAGCCGCTGATGAAGCCGGAGATGTGGGCGAAATTGTCAATCCACGGCAGCAGGCCGAAGGCGAAGAGGAAGAGGACGAGCCCCACCAGTTTGACGAAGGCTTTCCAAGGCCGAGCCAGGATCTGCCAGCTCTGGAAGAGTTCCACAAATAGGCAGGCCAGGATGCCGAACTGAGATCCAGCCGGCCCCACCTTCAAACGTTCAAGAGAAAAACAGCGCTATTATTTCATTAATCCATCTACAAGGCTACTCAATTGCCTTCTGCGTTTCGCCCCCACAAAATGTACAGTCACTTCGCTTTACAGCGTACATTGGAACTGCATTGGTTACAGTCGGGGACCTGAGACACTACCCTGTGCATGTGAGTGCAAGTTGTCGTTGTCGTTGTTGTTTTTGTCAGATCTGAGTTCCATCCGTTTGAATCATGGAGGTGTCTCTCCATCAATTCAAGTTGGACGAGTTCGTTCAACCGCGGCAAATTGTACGTTTAGGAAGCGACAAAAAAAAATGTCACGGGGAGCCTCAGGGTGACTGTGCATTACAGCAGCCAAATGCCTGACACAACCCTGTCATTACCAGCAAGAATTATGAGCAACATGGAAATTCGGCGGATAATAATCCTTTGTTCATGACGGCTCGTGACAAAAGGCCGACACTTAAGAGCTTGGATAGAGCAAGTGGAATGTGGGAGGATCTGGATGGCACCAGCTTTATAATGTGACCAACACTAGTTATAGACTGAATGCAGGGACAGAGCAAAGGTGCGGTCCAATGGGTCATTACGAACGCATTTCAATGCACTCACTGGAAGGTCAATTGACAAGGTCAATTGCGCCCTGTTTTTTTCCCCGAACAAAAGCAGCTCATTCGGCGTTTCTCAGTGGCGTTTTAGTGCCGTTTATTCCCCTCAAAGAGCAACATTAGCATGTGTAATTAACACCCAATGTGCGTGAGCGACCAAAGTAGAATAAATCATTCCTGCGCTTGCGAACCGACATTCGCTGTAAAACCACTGAGAAAGAAAGCTTCCTGCGAAATTACCCCCGAATGCGCAAAATATTCTGTGGCATTGGATCGGAGAAAGCAGCCGTAGAATGTATGCAGTTCTTATAATAATAATAATAATAATAATCCTTGCATTTGATATAGTGCCTTATCACGTCTTCGAGACGTCTCAAAGCGCTTCACGGGATATACTGTAAGATTAATTCACTGTCTATTTTGTGGACGGAACGCAGCAGCCAATTGCGCACAGCAGCGTCCCACAAACAGTCGTGGATTAAGTGATTATTATCTTAAATGAAAGTGTGGATGGCAAGAATATACATCTGGTTGATTGTACCTCAGACAAGGTAAAAAGGTCCGAAATCCCACATGGTTTTGGACCTTCAGACCATTTTAAAGTTTAAGGTGATGCAGAACAGACCAAAGTTATTTTTTTTAAAAAAATCATTCTTACTTTTCCTGAGCTCTTAGAAAGGAACCAACTTCCAAATTACAGCTTCCTTTAAGGATTTTTTTTTTGAAATTCCTGCCTCTAGTTGGATTTCTTACCCATTGCAATGGAGAAACTTTATTAATAAAGTGTGTCTAAGTGTCGGGGGTCTATATCAAGACTATATCCATATCACCTACCTCGGCTCGATAAGGCAGAAATATTGCACTAGCCAGGTTGCCTGTGATGCCGCTAAGGATGTAAATGATGGAAATGCGAAGCCAGCCAGCCAGTTTTTCCAGGTCCCTCAAGATTGTCATTTGGAAGCAGATGGACACAGCACAATGGAGAATCCTGCATCGAAAAGTAACGCAAGTGAAATAGAGAAGAAAAAAACGACCACAAAATGAACCAAAAAGACCCCAAAGGCACCATCTCATAAATCATCACCTGCATTCATTGCCCAAGACTTTCAGACAACCTCTTTCAGTTAACCGTGGCCGGATGAAACAGCCGTGGAAAACTGGAGACAATCTTTATTTTATACCGTGTAAAATACTGGGAACAGACTGCTAAAATGTTAACACATGTCCTTATTTTCTCCCAAATCTATTCTATCGTTGGAGACTACATATAAGACGATCCCACTTGCGGGCAAATTCGATTAGTGCTTTGCAGTAAAACACTGATATTTTCCAAAGACCTCGATTGCAAGATTATGAAGAGCTATCGCTGAAAATAGGTGAGCGGCAAATAAGATTTGCTTCCATTTTGTCCCATCGTCTAAAGACACCGGGTTTCCCACCGGTAACCTTGAGATGGGATGGTCGATTTTTACACAAGTTAAAGCTTTGGAACAGTAATACAAAAAAAAGGTATCAGACAGGATGGAGTTCTTGGAAAGAATAAGCTGCTTATTGCTGTTTTGCCTTCTCGGAGGCAGGGTAAGGGGTGTCAGTTTGGCTTAAGTTGGAAGCGGTATTGCCTCCAAGTCAGAACTTGCCGGTTCAAGCCACGTGTCTGCACTTGCTCCCATGTGAATTCTACGAGTGGCTAATCCATTCAGTAGCTGCTTCACTGATCACTGTGAACTCATTTATTAAGTCTGCCGTTGGATATTTTTTTTTTAACATGCGTTTCAAATGTTCTTCCGTCCGGCGCTAGGTAAATGCTTCATTTACCGTTGACCCTTTTGTTATAATGATAATAATCCTGGCATTTGATACAGCGCCCTATCACGTCTTCGAGATGTCTCAAAGCGCTTCACAGAACATACTGTAAAGTGTTGGTGACTGTATATTTTGTGGGCGAAACATGGCAGCGAATTGCGCACAAACAGTCTGGATTGAGCGACCAAATTATTATTATTTTTATTTTTGGAAGGAATTATTACCCCGGTAAAGAGATCCGCCGATCAACTAACAACCGGGTTCCTACTTACTGTTAGGTAAACAGACACGTGTGGGAGTAAGGAAACTTGCCTAACGTTTTCCCCTGTTAGAATTGTGTTGAATCATTAAGCGCTAAGGGAAGTGGGCAAGTAGAGAGGAACATCACTGGGTGGATTAGACATCACACTCCCCTTTCAAAAAGAGGTTTACCTTGCCGTAAGCTACACAAAGCTGATTTTGCATTGTGTAAGCGTTTTGCACGAAGACACGTGCAGGTGAAGGTGATGAACAAAGGCAGGAATTAACCGAGACACAATCCAGAAGGTCTGTGTCTGCAGCCGTGGTTTACAGCCTCTCCATGTGTGGAAGGCTCACGCGATTGCAAGGGCACATCCCACCCTCTAGCAACTTGTGCCCCCTTCACGTCAAAAGCCAATCGCCTCATTTCAAAACCGACGGGAGTGCTTGCAGCAACGCCTTGCATTTTACACAGCGCCCTTCACGTTAAAAATAACGGACTCCAACCGAGATACAGGTATTAGTCCACAAAGAGCCAGGCAAAAGCAGAAGAACGGAATAAATCATACATTTCACTGGCACAGCGAGTGAATTAACCAATTAATTCATTAATTCATTGGTAAAATTAATCAATTCACAATCTGCGAACACACTTTTCCACGTTCCCCTTGCTTTTAACCTGCCAGCTCCAGATATAGCAACTATGGGGATTTATACTCCTTTTAGAGCTGGGGGCGAGCAGGGAGTGTCTTAAATTGATGCCTGCATGCAGAGAAAGAGCAGGCACCACAGGCCACAGCTCTGTGTTGTTGACTGTGGGATTATTGATAATCGCAGGATTATCAAATTCACTTTCAGACGGCAGACATTCGCGCAGGGCAGCCCTGAGCTGGGACACGAGGCGACAATCACTGGACCGGTTGTGCTCCTGTAAGCTTTGAGTCACCCGAGTCATAATAAAAAAAAACGCAAAGTGTGCATTAGTGCGTTAGTACCTGTGCGTTGGCGACACTGTACTCACCCTGCATGCAGAAACAGAGACAGCCAGAGTCGGTAAAACTGATCAGGCACTTCGGGGTTGAGGAATGGCAAGAGTCCACACACGTCATCCATACAGTGCACCTACAAACACGTCAAACATCCCGTTTTAAACCCTGGCGCAAAGCAAGACCGTACATTACACCCGGTCACATTAAATAGACAGCGGCGATTACATCAGGTGGAAGTGTGGGCTGTAAGCAAGCTAGAGGTAGTGTACAGAGCCAAATGAGTGTTCGATAACTGATACAACTTCTTGCAGTATCATTCACCTGAGCACCACATGGATCTGTATCACCACATAACAAGTCTACCTCTGGTGCTGGTTCGAAGCCAATACATATTTGGCCGAAGGCCAATATAACTTGGCGACACACTTAACACATCGCCTGCTTTTTTTGCGTTCCACGCCACGCCCTTTCCGATCTATTGACCCGTCTCGTGGGTTTTCAGCTGTGCCCACTGTATGGGCAAAGAGAGAGAGAGAGTGGGAGAATCATGTTAAATGCCTCTGTCATGTGGAGCCACCCTGTATAACACGTGGGCAGCTACTCTAATCCAACCTCATGGATTCAGTACACTGAGCCTGGATTACACAGACTGGCCTGCAGCACAGATGAGCCAACTGTCACCAATTGTACATGTACAGAGACACACCGCACAGATGGTAAGCCCAGGATTGAGATCATTAAAGGAGCTTTTGAAATAAAACAGTCTAAAGTCCTCAACCTCGCAAACCCCCCCCAAACTCCATTTGAAAAAAGCTGCGGAGTTGAGGGTCATCAGACGTTAACTTCCAGCAGCACGCATTGCAGCTGTGGATGTCTGCTGGGAGCTTAAAAGTGATCACTGGTCCGTCAATGCACATTGAAACAAGTGATACCTTCACTGTTAAGTTTACTGGAGGTAGCTGCCAATGAAACTGCCCTGCGCTGAGAAACGAGGGCAAAGGATAAAGTTATTTCCCCTTGCATCCCGACAGGACTTGACACAGTCAGTTTTGACGCATCTATAAGATGTCCGCAAGTCTATTTAAATGACCAACGCAAAGAGACAAGTGCAGGGAGCTGAATGTATTAGATATCCCCTTTCCCCTCCTCTCCCCCACTCCCCTACTCCCCCCTCCACCCCAGCCACTTGGATCCCAAACCAACGTTAGTTCAAAAGCGATTGCGTTATTCGCGATTAATTATCTCAAGATCTTGGGAAGGGGAATCAAATTCCTCTTTGGGTAACACAATCCTTTCTGATATCCCTCCCTCCTGACATTGCCTTTCACAATCCTGAACCTGCTCGTGTCTCTTGGTGAAACCGCGAGTATTGTTCTGGGTTTAAATATATATTGTTTAAAAACGTAAATTATTTTTTTTTAGAATATTTAATAATAGGACATTTAAATCCACTTCACAGCGAAGTGCTTTAAGATGTCTCACTCACATGATAAGGCGCTGTATCAAACGCAAGGATTATTATTATTACAATTTACTCAAATCCATTTAGCGTCTTAATATACCTTTCCAAGGTATATATCTCCCTAGCAGACAACTCTTTTCGACGCTGAAGAGTGCTAGCTTGTCTAATCGTTTCTCTAATGCTGGGATCATCCTCGATTCTCTCCTCTGCACTGCCTCTGGAACGTGGGCAAACCCCTTGTGTTGCGGGCGATCGGAACTGTACAGAATAGTCAAGGTGCAGCCTGACCAGAGGACTACTCAACTTGAGCATGGCTTCTAGGGATCTGGGCTTAACTGATTTGCAGCCGAGAATCCTGTTTGTCTTGTTTATTGCTGCTTCACAGTGTTTTGATTTGGTGAACGATAAGGTCAATTAAGATTGCTAGGTCTCTTTCAGCTCCCCCATAGCTTGTCAAGTTTTATCCCGTCCATTGAATACACGAGCCTGCTATTCTCGCTTCTGATATGTGGTAAACAGTAAACATTTGTTTAGGAAGGTCGGCTGGTACAGATTGCCTGTAGCATTTGGCTCCTTAACAAGTCAAAAGACTTTAAAGTGACTCATGATGTCGCAATGCTTCATAATAAGTGATAAGGCATTGTTCATCATCAATCCTGAAGTCGGTTGTTCATCGAAGGTGTGGCCAGTATTTTGTACGGATTTGTGGAGACCTTTCTCTTTGGTGAAGCAAGTGTATGCAGTCGGTAACTTAATCCCGAAATAAAGCTCAGGAGGTCTTTAAAATTCAAGAGCTAAACCTGTGGTAAGTCAATCCAGGAATAAAATTCTACACATTGTGAGAATAGGGGATACCTGGGCACCAGAAAGCCACAGATGGCAAATTAACTGAGGTATTTAAGAGGGAGATTGATAGAGAGATAGATGCATACTTGGGACTTAAGTGTTTTACAAAGTATGGACAAAAAGGTGGGGAGCTGGGATCAGAAAGATAAAGCAGCAAAGTGGGCTGAGCTGACCCTTTCTTGGGTCAACTGGGCTGACTGAGCCTGTGATTTCTCACTGAAAACATTGCTAAGTTTAGCCATCAGTGTACGATCAGCCCCACAGACGGAGCTTCGAGTGCAAAATGTTCCTATCAGTTCAGAGCGCTGGGCAGTCAAGTTTATACCGTGATCAACCCCAGAATAATGGTGGCTCCGCAGTGTCAAAAACAAGGAAGAAGAGAGGATTTGTGGCATTTTCAGCACCATATCAACGCTGAGAATCACCTGTTCCCCACGCCCTTCCCAGCCATGTGAGAAACAGGGAGAACCTGGCAATGAGTGTGGCCGCACATCGCACCCTGGGGCACAGTTTGGCAGAGATGCAGCAGAAAGAAACTGAAAGCGCTTCACAGGATACGCTGTAAAGTGAATCGACTGTATATTTTGTGGGCGAAACGCGGCAGCCAATTGCGCACAGCAGCGTCCCCCACAAACAGCCGTGGATTAAGTGACCAAATTATTGTCATTATTGTTTTCGGAAGGGAGTATTACCCCCGGAAAAGCGTTCCTACTGACTGCTAGGTAAACAGAAGTGTGTGTGTGTGTGTGTGTGGAGCAAGGAAACTTGCCCAAAGTTTCGCCCTGGTCTGTATCTGACTTACTTGCGAATATCCCATCCCTATACCCCCACATCGCAACAGAGAGAGAGAGGATTGCGAGAAAATAAAAAAGTCTTGATTCGAACCTGTGAACAGAGGGTTGCTTCTTCGTGGAAATACCCTCTCATGAACTCACAGTATTCTCTGGACGTTATCTCACACCTGCAGAAAGAATACCAAATATTTAGGTTCCGTTCCGCTGCACAGTGGAGAAAAATGTGCCCTTGTGTTTCCGGCCAGGTGCTGCCTTGCTGTGCGGATCTAAACTGAAAGACTTGGGAGGCATCATCTGTCATCGGTATGGGGCCACTTTACAGAACATCCCGAATTCCACCACCTCCCACGCAGTGTCCCTCGTTTGGACACAATCGCGTGTCGTTCTTTAGTTGTCGCCGGGACAAGCTTCTGCAACTCCCCCCCCACCACCACCACCACCCGCCCCCCGAACCCTAGACTGTAGCGACTCGAAGAGCAAGCTTAAGACGGAAATTGCGATCTTTTTCCCCAGGCAATTCTACGCGACGTTACATTTTCAGGTAGACAAGCGCACAGCCAGATAAACAGAAGTCCCAGTGGCTCGGTCTGCAGACCTTGGAGCATGGTGATGGGCATGTCTGTGTGCGCGACAGATACTCAGCTGATCGAAAATAAAGGTAACAGTCTTAAGGCAAAGACCAGGGGAAATTTGGGGGTTCAGAGTATGCTGTTCAACTGCACTATATGATCCTCCAAGATGCCTGAACATATCCCACCCCCCCCACCCACCCCCCCCCCCACAAAGCGCGTTGGATGTCCTGCAGAGAACCCGTCTACTTCATCTCGAAAACGTCAAAGCCGATACTGATCGGACCCTCCATTTGCTGACGCTGACAAGCTCTCACCTGCCCTTGGTACCAATGCAGCAGGGACGGCCGGTGATGACGCAATCCACGTGTGGAAGGTTTGTGTGGTTTCCCGCGTTACTTTTAGTGCAAATCTGGAAAGGGAAACAGTTCGAGAGGAAAGAAAGGTTCAGCAATCAATCATTCGCTTGGCTGAGCGCGGTCCTGAATCTACAGTCCCTCTCTCTCCGTCCACCCCCAAACGTGGGTACTCTCGTGCTTACAGCCACTCCACACTGGAGATGTCTTCCTCAATCCCTCCTCCGCCTCGGCCCCTCCTTTCCCAGCTTCGGATCGCATCTGAAGACCTTCCTCTTTGCCCGCATCTACTGTCACCTCTCCTCTTTACCCGGGTCGGCATCAAGCGCACCGCTAACGTTAGGCGCTCCGAGATGTTACCCGTGTGAAGGGCGCTATATAAATGCAAGTTGTTGTCGTCAATAGATCTAAACTACATTGGGTTGAAGTAGTGTTTGGAAATGGAGTGGGGAGGGGAGGGGGGTGGGGAGTGGGGGGGAGGAGGTGGGGGAGTGGGGGGTGGGGGGAGAATACCTAGTGCACGCTGACAGAACCCATATCAAATCTGGAGGGAAACGAATGCATTAAAATAACAAGAACGCAATTTAGACAAGACGTTAAAGAGAGCACTTACCGGCCACTTGGTGATGTCATCGGGCCATTCGTGAGGGGAAATAGAGGCAGGTTCGTCACAGAAGCTGATTGACGGGGAGGGAGTGGGGGAGGTTGGGGACAAGAGAGAAGGGATAGAATGGAACCAGGTAAGTAAGGTATTAATATGGATTTTTTTAGGCTTCTGATTAGTTTGTTCCTGTAATATACCTGCAATTTTTTGTGGGTCTTAATTTCCCTGTTAATGAAATCACATCTGGTGGGTTAGAATATATTACGTTCCAGACAATAATATTAATAATAGTAGTAATAATAATAATAATAATCCTTGCATTTGATATAGCGCCTCATCGAGACCTCTCAAAGCGCTTCGCAGAATATACCGTAAAGTGAATTGACTGTGTATTTTGTGGGCGAAATGCGGCAGATTTTTTTTGTCGAGACAAGAGTTCTTTTCCGAATTGATTCTTTTCCCTCGGGATGGGGGTGGGGCTGGGGGTAGGGGGGAATATCACTCGACTGAGCCCACCTGGGATCCTGATGACACACTGAGCCGAACTGCCGTTTGCTTTTGTCTGCCATTAGCGGAGTTTGATCGTGATTTGGCCACTTTACCCACACCGCAAGAGTTGACTGGAAGAAATATTGGGTTCGGTTAGAAAAATCGCCCAAGAGAAGCCTATTGGTTTCAGCAGAAAGTCTACCAGACACCACATTTTCTGAAGCCTGGAGATGCTTTCTGCCCTTTCGCTTGCCCCTCACAAGGCTGATCCCTGAGCAAATCCATGAGCCAGAGGTTGGGAAGTGAAGCTTCACAGCCTCAAAGGCCCTCAGTTTCAGAGAATAATCCTTGCAATTAACACACCTCTTACAAACAGTCAAAGTGTCATGGCTGCATATTTATAGGCAAAGGCAGCAGCCAATTTGTGTACAGCAACGTCCCACAAACAGCGATGAGGCAAATGACCAGTTTTATCTTTGTTCGAAGAGGTAGCAGAGATTTTGGATTGAAATCACAACCTTCTGACCCAGAGGAGGGAGAGAGGGAGAGAGAGAGAGAGCGCTCCAACCAACTGAGCGAGGCTTAACATTCGTGGTGGAAAACCTTCACCTACCGAGCACTCTTTCTCTGAGGTTTGAACGCACCCTGACTTGTCATTCCGTACGCAGCAGGCGGACTCCTTCTCTCGTTGCCTCTTCTGCACAATTAATTCGTGCACTTGCTCGTCCTGCCTCATACAAGGAGAGAACTTTGCCCCAAGATGGATTAAGGCCTCCTGCACCAACGGGAACAACACGGTCAACACAACAGTACAAGTTTGATGTGGCCGTGAGCCATTTCTAGCCGAGACAAATACAATAACGTTGATCAAAATGGAACATCTGTTGAAGGCAAAGTGATACCCATTTAACTGACATGCTGGTTCAGATCTTTTTACCGTGCAAATAGGTAGCGTCAGGAGCTAACTTTGTATAACTTGCGTTAGTTATCCCAGATTTAGAGCGTTATTTGCAACAATATTTAAAGAGCTCGAATAAGAAAAGGGTCTGGTCTTGGGAACTGGCCAGTAATTCACTAGTGTATTTTGTTCTAACAAGTAGAAGCTAACTCTTTAAAACCTTGTGAGATACATCGGTTACAATAGATTTGTTTCGTATTGCCCTCCCACGACTAGGCAATGCAGAAGCCATAGCAATGGGAATCATTGACTTAAGGCCTAGTTTTTCCATAGATTGGCGACGCAATGATTTCAATGGTGGGAAGAACAGATTTGAAACGGGACGAAAAACCCATCACACTTACAGAACTTGGTCCAATCCAGAAGTTTTCCTGTTGTACAAATTTAACATTTTCATAGACACCTTTATTTCTTAAAACCTGGGTAAGCAAATGGAAAAAGATGGTTAAAGCTCTTGAAACAGGAACGGGCACGAAGCAAGATCATATCAGGATTGACAGAGAACACGGAACAGGAAAGACTATCTGTCCACACGAGATAATGATAATAATAATAATAATAATAATAATCCTCGCATTTGATATAGCGCCTGATCACGTCTCCGAGACGTCTCAAAGCGCTTCAAACTCTCGCTCCTGGTATCCCACAGAGAAAAGAGTGAAAGTCCGCAGACAGAATCTCACACAAGCCACAGGAAGATGGCGATGATCCTTTCAAACAGGCTGTATAATGCTGAGACAAAGAGGTGAAAAGTTCAAGAGGGACTCATAATACTCAAACCTTGCTCGCACTGTAAATATTAGCATTAGTCAAGCATTAGGTTCATTTTTTGGGGCGCCCCAAATTAATGGAATATCGTATCGAACGTAGGAACTTTTGTTTGACAACCAATTTAAGAGCCACGGATGAGACATTTCCCCCCCCCCCCCCCCCCCCCGCCACCAAGGTTAGAGACTTTTAGTGTTAGTTTTTTTTACCGCAATAACATAATTAGGTTTCCTGTTAAGTTAACCCACTCACAGCTCATAAAAGGATTGCATTAAAAGCAGGCACTCCCAGTCACTATATTTTATGATAATAATCCTTGCATTTGATACAGTGCCTTTTTCGTCAGAAGGACGACACAAAGCACTTGACAGGATTTACTGTAAAGTGTAGTGACTGTGCATTTTTGTAGGCGAGATCATTAAAAACAAGAGGACCTTCACAACACAATGCTGACGGGGCACAAAGGGTCATCCGATCCATCTGAATTTGAGAGCGTGGGAAGCGTTATAGGTAAGAAAAACAGGGGCATAACAGAATACTTTACAGTCTATGGATTGAAAACTGAATTCAATGCGCCGACACGAACTAAACTCTCTACGCTACGAGGAGGGACTGCATATCCACAGGGAAAGTTTTCCTTATTGTAAGGATAAAACAAGTCAACAGCAACACTCAGTTTATTACTTACCGAATCAACAGTTTCATGTTGAGAAAATCCTATTGGAGCAATCCCATAGATACACACAGCTAGTATAGTGATCAACATATGCACAAATGTAATCCAGTATGTGAAAAATGGCCTGCAAGGGAAAGTTTATCTATTAGTGGTCAAACACAACGGCGTGCGAAGTTGCTGTAAAGCCACCGTTTTCTACTTAACATCGCCACAATGTAAACGCAGATCCGTTTCGATTAACTGCAAGCCTTTTTTGTAAGAGAATTCATTTTCTATATAAAAAATAACGTCCAAGCTTATATTAGAAATTTTACAGTTAAACAGAAATGACAGTACAAAGGCCTGGGGTCTATGACACACCGAAGGTGTAATCATGCGCTGATCGTGACAAATAACAATTATTTCTCCAACAACCTGATCAAGAAAAATCCCATTATAGCGACAAAACTGAAAGATCAATATATATATATATAGAGAGAGAGAGAGAGAGAGAGAGAGCGATCAATGTACGTGAGATCCAAGCGCTAAAATGATGCTAGGATTGTGAATGAGCTGTGTACAGATAAGTATGTACGCTGTGCTACATCTGGATTTGCAAAACAAGCTGTCCGTTCAATCCCACTGTCCTGCCTTGTCCCCATTAACTCCTTCAAGCCTCTACGGGTCAATAAGTCCCAAATAATAAACCGCCAATAAATCAAAAAGGTTCCTTACCGGTGATCGTCCATATTATCTATTTGCCTCTTGACGTAACTATCTATCCTCTTACGATAGGTCCGGTTTGTTAGCTTCCCCACCATCCCCAGTCCGTAGGGTCTCTTTTCCTTAGCGAGCAGTTTCTTTACAGGTATTGCTATCCGCTGTCCTCTCCGCTGGCCGCTCACGCTCACCACCTCTTGCCGTAAGCGCACCTTGGGCTGAGGGGGGCTCCCTTCCTTCTGTTTTCGCCAGCCCCGACCCAATGGGCTAGAGAGAGAGGAGAGAGAGAGAGAGAGAGAGAATCGATAAACGCCGACGTGTAAAACGATCGCTCTGACTGAACGCTCACTTAAACAAGTGGGCGAAAGCGGGCGGGCAGGCGGGCTTTGAACCATTCTACCCCGGAACTCCAGTCCGCAGTCCCTCCCGACTCCCCCCCGCACCCACCCTCCCCATTTTTTAGAGTCCGTCACAAGACATTCCTCCTTGACCAGGTTTTTGGTTCATCTCCCCCGCCCCCACCCACCCCCCACTCCGCCCCTTTCAAAATTGTCCAGGGTTTCCTCGGGCTCTGGTGGGTAAAGTGCTCTGGGACGCTACCTTGCACAAGGGTGTGTGGGGGGGGGGGGGCCCTGTATAAACACAAGTTGTTGTTGTTGGTGCTTCGGTGAGCGAGCAGTAAACTTATGGAAGGAACAGGCTCCCCGGGGGAGACAAGACGGTGGAAGCAGAAAATGCGGTTTGTTTCAATCACAAATTAGATAAAGATTTCTGCCAGAAAATAATATCCGGAGGAGTGTGGGGGATACGGTGTACAGTTTGGGGACACGACACGTCAAGCGACGGCCAAGACGGCGGACGGCGAACTGGACGGACCTCGGTCTTCTCCGGCCCGGCAAATTCTCATCTTCTTGGAGACACCCTCCAGCCGCGAAAGGTGCTGTACGAATGGCAAAGGGTCACTGTGTTTGCAGGCGGCCTCATTGCTGGTTGAAACGCTCATCGTGCGGAGAGCAGGCAGGAGCCAGATCAGCAAAAGGACGGCAGCTGCAGGTCTCACCACTGTGCCAGGAATCGTTGGCTTGCTCTGACTGACTGACTGACTGACTGACTGACTGAGAGGCCAGGCGTGGGGCTGAGAGGAACTTTTTTTTTTACTAAATTATTATTTTGCTCCGAAACATTTTTTTCTTTCATTTTTTTTCTTGAAAAAACCTAAACACGGACCAAGCACGGGCCTTGTGGGCTCTTCACCCCGTGGCCTCTTCCGCCAGAAAACGCACAGTCAATTCACTTTGCGGTATGTTCTGTGAAGAGCTTTGAGACGTCTCGAAGACGCGATGAGGCTCTGTATCAAACGCGAGGATTATTATTGTTGTGATTATTGACAATCAAACCATTTTTAGGCTTAACGCTGGAAGCAGTGAGAGGTCTGGGGACGGGCAGGGAAAGGGGTGGGGATGGGTGAGAGCAGGCCAGGGGAGTGGGAAGGTGGGAAGGGAGCGTTGGGGAGAGAGGGGGAGCTGAGAGAGGGAGGGAGCGGGCAAAGGGAATTCAATGCCATGCCATGAAACACTCTGCTTCGGGAATTACTCCAAAGACTGCCTGCAAAGAGCCAGTGTTGCACAATATGTTCCAGTAACGGGGATGGGGCTGGGTTGGGGGAGGAAGAGAACCTTGGTTTATCCAGCTGTGAAGGGACGGCGTATCGAACGAAAAATGTTGAAACAATCCCAAAAACAAATCTGGGATGATGCCTCTGGGACTTTGTTGTGGAATGATTGAGGATGGGGAGGGGGGGGCAAGAGGGGGTGAGGGTTTAGTGGGGAGGGTGGGGTTTGGTGGTATTGGTTGTTGGCGGTAAACAGCAGGCAAACAAGGGAGTCACTCTCCCGTTAATCTAATACGAATGAAGGTTGGGCCCCATAACCTGACACAATGCTCCAATTTATGATCCGATCCAGATGTGTATCATGCCCTCCCAACCCCCGCTTTCTTTCTAAGACTCCCTGCTTCAAAAAAAACTTCTCTCAGGGGCTATGCTGTCATGGACCGAACCGCTCTGAACTCCAGACACGACATCACTGGGTGGGGAGGGTTGGAGGGGCGGGGGGGTGGGCGGGGGGGAGACTGAGCTTTCTCCTTTTGCCAGTTTGCACCAGCGGGTGAATTAACTCTTGCCCGGTCCACGGAAGGAACGACTCTCCTTTGACTGACTGAAGAGTCGCCACGCTTCAAACTAACGTGTTGGGGTTCAGAGCAGAACGACAGTAATCCTCGCCTTCGATCCGGCGCCTCGTCACGCCTTCCCAGGCGTCTCGAAGCGCTTCCCGGAACACGCTGCAACGCGGACCAACCGTACGCCGAGCAGGTGGAATCGCGGCGGCCAATTTGCGGCCGCGGCAGTAGCCGGGGAAAGAAGAGCCGGGTCGGGAACACGGGGGTGTAAAGGGACGTAAAGCGGTGGAATCCCCACGGACCTGGTGGGGGCCACCATCTCGCGGGTGACGGGACCGTCCGGATCTCAGCCGTGTTGTGGTGGTGCCGTAACGCTGGCTACTCACAGCATCAAATGGCTTCTCTCCAGCTCGCTCTTGTCCAGGGCACTGCCCGTCAGGTCAGCTTGATCCGCGTCGTCCGTCTCCTTGGTGGGATCGGCCTCCGGCGGCTCGAACACCTCGTCGTGGTAGGTGGACAGCTCTTCGTTTAGGGCGGCTCCTTCCTGGCCGAAAGAATCAGAGGTTCAAAGGGGGGGGGAAAAAAATCCCACACACACGCACACACACACACACGAAAACACACGCACAAACACACGCACTCACGCGCACACACACACGAAAACACACGCACAAACACACGCACTCACACGTGCGCACACACGCGCACAAACACACAAAAATTGGTCACTTCACTTTGAGCCTGTGAAATGACGTGACTTCCTGCACTCTCCCCCCCGCTCTTCAGCGGTGTGGCCCCGACAACAACAACAACAACAACAAATTACACCTGTTATTTTATAACTTATAAATTACATAGGAGCAGCAGCGTGTACGGGTAAACTATTCCACCGTCTGTGATGGACACCCTAACCCGAACCGAATCCTGTTCTCCACTGATATTCCCTCCCTCCCTCCCTCCCTCCCTCCCCCGCCATATATAAACACGCAAATCTTCCAGCTGAGTGCTCGCTGTCCCTGTGGCCTGACTCAGGCCAGATGGAGGGAGAGCTCCTAACTGAGAGCAGAAAATCAGCTCTGTCTTCTGCACGGCTTTAGTTTCACACAGACACCGAGTGTTTTTCATATGAGGTCATCGCACACAAAACACAGGAATACAAGATGAACTAACTCCATCCATCCCTTGCCCCTCTTCCCCCCACCCCTACACACCCACACCCACACACCCACACCCACTCCCAAGCCTGGGAGCTTGCAAATCATTGTAACTGGCATCTCTGTGTGAATTTCCAATGCTCCGTCAATACGGGGGACACACAATATTAATAATAATAATAATCCTTGCATTAGATATAGGGCCTTATCACGTCTTCGAGACGTCCCAAAGCGCTTCATGGAAGCATCTACGTTACAATACAGATAAGCGTATCTCCAAATATGGTCCACACGGAGATCACCTACTTCAACTAACCTGCAGTAAAATAATACTTGCTCAGAATTACTGAATATGGATAAAGAGATACTGGGACCAGACCTCTTACAGCTCCGAAGGTGTTTGTTGCGAAAGGAAAAGTCCTCGATAGTCAAGAAAGTCCCATTGAATTGGTTGAAACTTCCCTTCTCCTCTAACGGTGCCATTGCAAGAAATCAACACGAACAGAAATTGCTGGCAATTCTGCATCACTTCACAAACTGGGGGGGGTGGGGGTGGGGGGGTGGGGAGGGGGGTCATTCTCTAGCCGAATACACCTTTGCATTCTCTGTGCCTTCTGTTGTCTTCACACAGTGCTTGACCCAGTACTGTGCAGTCTATCTATCGAGCAGCGGGGGTATCGAACCCAGTAACAGAGTGTCTCACATTCACAGTAACGGGATTCCATTTAGGGCATTAACAGCCAATGCAAATTCAGCCTTTGGACGCACAAGATCATCTGTTATTCGGCAAGAAAACTGATCTGGTAAACCAATCGATTTCTGTCTCTCACCCCGGGTGGCTTGCTTCCCCCCCCCCACCCCCCCCCCCACCACGCACTTCTCTGTAACGGGCTTACACGCCAAGTCTCTGGAACGCAATGCAACGTCTCTCTGAGCACAAGCCAGATTTACCAACCACAATATCTCTTTCAGTCTCTTGAATTGAAAGAATGTCGCAGCTCTTCTTTTGGTACACTCATCCCACGCCTGATCTCAAGATAACTCTTACATGTCTAGAAATGCAGTGTATAAACACATCCAGTAACTTGAGCCCCTATCTTCATACGGGCTAGAGCGTTGGGCATCAACCGAGAGATCAGAGTCTCGAGGGACATTTATACGAGGCTGGTCGTAGAGAATTTGCCAGACTGTTGGGTGTTGATGGTGGTGGAGGAGAGAAGGAGACAGATTGCTGTCTCTTGTCAAGAGGACAGACAAAAACTGTGCGAGATTCCTTTCCACTTCCGTCAAAACGCCAAATAAAGCCACGTCGGAAAAGGAAACAAACTTACGATTGAACACTCTCGCTGTGCCGACTGAGAAAAGGCACCAGCGCTTGGGAGAACGGGTAGAAATCTGTACATTGGATGTTTTTGTATAAAACATTTACACTAACAACCTTCACTGGGGGTCACTGTTCTTATTCCCAGAACATCGCTCACCCTCTGTACAAGTCTCTCGTACTCCACGATTCAGCAAACCAATTTGATACGCATGCGGCAAACGCCCCCGAATTAGCGATGAGATGAAATGAAGTTGGACGCTTTGAGCTGCGCACCGTGTAATCTCACCCTTGCAAAGAAAGAGGTGTCCAGTTCATCCTGGAAATCCACAGTGTCCTCCTCGATAAAACTGGCAGGTGTGAAGCTGCGTCTCTGAGTCCGTCGAATGGTGCTTTCTCTGAGAGAACGGCCCTGTGTAAGTGGAGGCAACGGATGAGTTAACAATAACCCTCGCATTTGATACAGGCGCCATATCACGTCTTCGAGACGTCACAAAGCGCGTCACAGACTATACTGTGAAGGGAACTGGCTGCGTATTTTGTGGGCGAAACGGGGCAGCCAATGGCGCACAGCAGTGCCCCACAAACAGTCGTGGATCGAGTGACCGAATTCTTCTTTTTTTTAAAAAAAAGAAATGTTTCGGAGGGATTATTACCCCCGGAAAAGCGATTCGCCAATCGACTAACAACTGGGAAACTTGCCCAACGTATCAGGTAGTTAAACCCCGCCGCGCAATATTGTCGCTTACGCGCAGCACACCTTTTGGCTGTAGGTAGCGTTTCTTCAAATGCACGTACTCCAAAAGTGCCCTGACACGAACATAAAAGCTCTCACAAAGATGCCTCACGCAGCAGGAACGGGCTCACTTGTCTGTGCACAGCCTCAGAGGCGCAAAATTCAAGACGTGTTCAATCATGTTAAAGGTGAAGCTTCACCGAAGAGAAGGTGGCGATGTTTGTTTTTCCACACCAGGAGTGGTGTGTCAGCGTGAGAAAAAATTATCAATGAAAGCCAGCGGCCGCTGCAACCAAATACTGTACAGCCAGCCAGGGCAACAACAACAACAACAACAACAACGTGCATTTATATAGCGCCCTTCACACGAGGCAGCATCCCAGAGGGTTTGGGGCAGTTGCACATGTCCCAGTGTGTTCGATCAAATCTCCACTTCCTCTCCTTTCCTCCTTGCTCAGGGATCCCAAACGTCTTCGTGAAGAACCCTGAGATGTTGGTCTTGCGTGAAAGGTGCTGTGTAAGCGCAAGGTGCGTTCGCTGCTCGACACGAACCAAATTGGTTCATTGAAGGCCTTCAACCGGCAGCTGTTTTGAAGCTGTAGATGGTATAGACTTGGGCTGACAGGCCAGTGCCCTATTCTCCGAAGCACTGAAGTACCAAAAACCCCAAACTCTGGAACACTCTCCCTGTAACCCTCTGCCTTGCCCCCTCCTTCCCCAGCTTCGAGTCGCACCTGAAGACCTTCCACTTTGACCGCGCCTACGGTCACCTCTCCCCCCCCTGGCTCAAACACCATCAAGAGCTCTGGGACGCTACCCTGTATGAGGGGCACTATATAAATGCAAGTTGTTGTTGGGTGTTTAGAACATTCTTCCCCTACCTTGACCAGGGCTGCTGCTGCTCGGAAACTCATCTTAGCCACGGACTCTCTCTTCCTCCTCTTAGGGACACGGTTGAAGCCGGAACGGGAGCTGGTGAAGGAGCAGAGGGATGTAGCACCGGGAGTGATCGGAGTGTGTGGAACGCTGAACCCATCCCCTTCATCCGGCATTCGGAACGCTCTCCCTCTGGCCAAAGGATCGATGATCTGCGCGGAGATGAGAGAAAAACAAGAATGTACATTAGATACCTCGTAAATACCTGCGTTACACACGGTGACCAAAACGTCGTGACACCATTAAAATGTCTAGTAAGTCTTAAAGAAATGATGTTTTTTTTTAGGTAATAGGGTAGTTATCACGATTTATTGGTCACCTCGTGTGTGTGTGTGTATATATATATAAAAGATACCATCTCAGAGCATGTGTTCGACCACAATGAGATGCTTTGTTCAAATAGTCTTGCACCATACTGACTTGGTATGTTGTAAAAAGGTGATGAGCTCATTGGAAGCATTTCAAACTTAGTTGTACTAAACGGTTCGGTTTGATGTAAAGGAGTCATAACTATTCATACAGAACAGCTGGGGACACAGAAACAACACCCTAAAAGGCAGATAGAATAGAAACTATTAAGAATTTAAGGCCATTTGTGGGACGTTGCTGTGTGCAATTGAGTTGCCGCCCATGCCTGCAAGTGAACAGTCGCTCAGTCAATCCTTGAGGCTCTTTGAAGTGAAAGGTGCTATATCAAACGTGAACAATATTATTAACAATAATAATTTCTGTAGCAGAAAGGCCACAAAAAGAGTTTTCGGTTACATTTTCAAAGCAGAAATAGAAAGGAGGCGGCTGAAGCCAAATACAGATCATTATGAAGAGACTCAAGGCTCGAGATTTCACCTAAATCTTCATCAATATTAAGACTATTTTGTCTTAAACAGAAGAACAGCTAAGAACTGTTGATCGATTTTAATTTAGAGACCCTTTGGCTTCTTGAGAACTTCCTAATTAAGGCCGAATTTAAGAATTTTCCAAATTGTTGCACGACCTTTGAAATGTCATGACAAAATGCTTTCACTGGCTAAAACCAGGTGGAATTTCGGACGTGCGTTAGTAGACAGGGGTAGTGCGAGAACGTGCTTCATAGTAAGGAAAATGAGGCAAAAAAAGAGTCAGAAGCGTCAGGGACGCACGCCATGCGATTGTCAGGAAGCCAAATCGAAAACGTAATTATGCAAAATTCAGGTAAGGGTTTGTTTTCAACTCAAATGAGCTCCGTTCCACCTGGTGCAACCCGAAACTACTGGGAAACATTCACTGAGATACAAATGTCTCGACCGCTCACACGACTCATAAAAGCTGGCAAGGGAACAGTCTGCTCGAGGTTGGGGAGGAAAAGAGAAAGAGGGAGACTTGTTCACAGACACGGTGATACGTTCGGTTTCCACCGCAGCACGATAAGAGACAGCAAAGAGACACAATTGTCACAGCGGCGATGGACTCAGCCACTCCCGACAGTCTACTAATTACCGTGGTTCACCGTTACATATCCGTCAAGGCAAAAAAAAAAAAAAAATGCTCCAGTTTGTTGGAAATGAACAGAACAGCGTAGAGGGAAATGCAGCCATATGTGTTTAACTGCGAAAACACATCTAGGCTAAATAATGGAACCTTTGAGCTTTTGGCTTTGACTTTTAGTTAAATTCACAGCACTCTAGGGCACTTTTGTTTTTTAAAAAAAAGTACTGGATCGCATGTAATATTGGTGTCTGTTGAATCAATCCGAAATTTGGGCAGCCAGCCCAGTGCGCACATGGTCTTTGTGGTGGGAACATTGGTGCCTGTAATTAAATCTTCTCAACGCATTGCCAATGGCAAAATCACGTTGCACCGAAGCCAATTCTCAGTGCAAATATATATTTTCTTCTTAATGAAGAACAAAATACCATTAAAGTCAGTTTGCGCTGATTAAATAAGGTCCATTGAGCAGCTAGGGATTTCTCCCCACTACTCCTCTGGTCCAGCAGAATCTGTAATTAAACCTGACGCCAATAACATGGATCAGTCCGCAAACCTCCCAGGACTGCAGGAAATATGTAAGGATCTCTCCACCCAGTATTCAGAGAGCTCACACACATATGGAGTCTTTAGACTGCCAGAGAACACAGTTAAGATTCCTGCACATCATAGAACGCAGTTGCCTGTGATATTCCTGTGGATCACCTAATGTTCAGAAAATCATCACTCTGTAACTTGACTTAATAGCCAATTTGTAACAGCAATGCTCCAATCAAGCAGGAACTCGGATGTTAGTCGATTGGGGGATCGCTTTTCCGGAGGTAATAATTCCTCCAATAATAATAATAATAAATTGGTCACTCAATCCACGACTGTTTGTGGGACGCTGCTGTGCGCAATTGGCTGCTGTGTTTCGCCCACAAAATATACAGTCAATTCACTTTACAGTCAATTCTGTGAAGCGCTTTGTGACGTCTAGAAGACGTGATAAGGCGCTGTATCAGATGCAAGGATTATTATTATTATATTATCAATCACTGGAGGTGAATGACCCGTAGATCTGGAGGATTGTTGGACAGGACACAGGAGGAGACTCCCTTGTCTTTTGAAGCACTTTCACAACATTCAATACTCTATAATATTCAATATGCTTCTGCACTTATATAGCACAAAGGTGGATGTTAAAAAGCTGTTGCTGTAATTTAGTAATTGAATGTACTGCGTGTATTTAATGGCTTATTCACTTTGATGGCTTCAGGCCTGCCGTGCCTGGGGAAGCTACACTCTAATACACTGAAGGTGGTGGAGAAACATCTTGAGACCTGCAGCGAACGACACAGAAAACTCACTAGGTTTAATCAGGACCAGTATCTTTCCTGAAATTTCCCGGGAAAGAGCTGGAGATTGCGATTAATATTGAAAAGAGCCATTTAGCACCAGGGCTGATTCGCTGGGTTAAATAGCCTTCTTCTGAGCTGAAACGGACTTGTCTGACAAACACTTTATACAGCCATTGCCACCTTTGCAGTAAGTCATAATTAAGACGGTCTTTGCGGTTGGCATCGGGCTGCTCTTGGGAACCTTAACGCAGAGACAAAGTCAAGCACGATTTCAGTACGTAGGCAGCCACGGGGCGCTGTGAATCACTGAGTGTTTGACTGCTGGGCCAAGAACTGGACAAAGGGAGCGAGAGTTTGAGGACGCACACGATGAAGCCAAACCGTTTGACAAGAACGAGAGATTCCGCATTGCTGCGGAGGGCAAGAGTCAGTGCCCACATCGTGTCACCACACATCATCAATGCACACGTCTCACCCTGGCTCAGTTCAGTATGCGTAAACACTGCGCGACAACTGATTATAGTAATTTGTTTTGGCAGCTGTATATTATGCACAATAAATGCACTTCACAAACAGTCAATGAATGACTTAATTCTAATCTGCGGTAATCACACCTGCATCAACATGGCTCGGGAAATTGGATGAATAACTAAACACGTAAAAAGCCTTTTATCGAGATACATTACTGAGAGGTTGGCCAGCCCGCGAGAACATCATCATCCTTGCCTTTGACGCAGCTCCTCAAAACGCTTCACGAGAGGTACCGTAAAGTGTAGTGACTGTGTTTGGAGGCAAGCAGGTTAATTTATCAAAATATCGCGTTGTTTTTTTTTAAAAAAAAAAAATTTGGCACAGGGAGAAAACAGAGTAATTTGCAAAAGGGAGGAGTCTTTAAAGAGAGTTTTAATTACAGATTCATTAAGTCCCGTGACACATGCCTGTTGCGGGATATTTCAGTGCCTGTTCAAAGACACATTTGTGTCGTACCCTGAGGCTGCTGGTGTCTGTACCCACCCTATTAACTCTGATGTGCGGAATCCAAAGTTACCTTGGTAAAACCCCGAAACAGGCAGGAGCTCGTTACGTAAACGGTTGATCCCAGGTTGCAGGGAGCGTGCACCCTGTTTCTGGACCTGGTGCGAACTGCAATCGAATGGTGGCCATAATATATATGTAAGTAATAATCTTTGTGTTTGATATTGCAGCAGAGGTCAACTGGGTGTCTGGCACAGACACATCACTGCAATTTAAACGTATCCAAACCAGCCCGAGGATTCCACATGTTAATGTCACCTCCGCGTGGATATTCCCCTGTGTCCGGAATGGAATGCACATTCTCTCCCAGGAGCGAGATACCTTGTGAAGAGTATTAGACACAGATGAGCGAGAGTCAAAGCCTGGGCACCCCAGACTGTGTGTGTGTGTATGTGTGTGTGTGTTGGGAAATAACTGCTGGAGTTTAACCAATGTAAACCACACAGTAATGGTGCATTTCAGTGAAATAAGTTCGGCAATTCAAATTTGCCACTGCGATTATCGGCCCCAAATGAGTAAGGAAGAAAATGAACAATCCTCACATTTGATACAGCTCCCTTCATGGCAGGAGGACGGTTCAAAGTGCTTCGCAGCATCTATGTTCAAGGGTAGTGACTGTGTATTGTGTAGGCGAACCCCTGAAATTCTTGAAAGTGTACTTGTTTGGCCTCTTCTGAGGAATTTTGTGGGCCTTTCACAAAGCAACTTGGCGAAGGACTTCACTTGAAATGTATTCAGGGACCTTGTGTGCTTTCACCCTTCCTGCAGCTGCGATAATTTATATATATATATATATACATACACTTTTTAATAACTTTGCCCTCCCACACCCAGGTTTTAGTGAAGTGAAAACATGTTTACACAGGAGCAGGCGACTGGGTGTGACACCAGTTGTCTTCTTTCATCTTCATATTGAACAGCAGCACCAGGATGAGAAATCTGTACATCGCTGGGTCAGGGAGAGGAACCACTATTGCCTTGTTCACAGTGCTTACCTTCTGCATGCCAAACTGGGGTCCCACGTACAGCGGAGGAGGGGTTTCAGTGCTGGTCAGGGAGATATTGTCCTGGCTGGGCAGTTCCATCTCCCGGATGACATGTGACTTAAGCTTGCCGTACCTCTGGCTGCAGTGACGAAGGCTCTTCCTCTGCCATTTCTGGGTGGTGTCACTGTCTTTGCTAACGCCGAACCAGTCTGCTGTGCCTCTGTGGGGCGGAACGGAATGGTGAACGCGCGGACAGACCTTCACGTCTCACAGCGACAGACCATCAGAAACCAAACAACGCTACCCGAACCGTTCAGGATTGCTCTTCGATTAAAAGAACGCATCTCACGTCCTTACGTCTATTCTATGTTGCAGCGCAATCCTATCATTCCACAACCATGCACTGCCATTTCACAAATGTAGTAACCTGTGAGTTTTACATGAATATTGCATGCTAATGGCGGGGATGCAACATATACAGCTCAAGGGTGCAGTTTATCCGAACGCTTTTCTCCCTCCCTACGCATTCTTCTGCCAGAAACACAGACGCTTGAACATTTGATCTCTATTCTTGTACGATACTCTGCTAAAGTATTGTTTATATAATATATTCCTCTTAGACCGTGACCTTCCCCCTCCCCCTGGCTTGGTGTCGGGCTCGGCCATTGTTAAGCGCTCTGTGACGCTGCCCAGGGTGGAAAGCGCTATATAAATGCAAGTTGTTGTTGTAATATAATAATGCTTGTATTGGTACAACGGTTAGTCACGTCTCACAGCGCTTCATATAATACACCTAAAAGTGAATCGACTGTACATTTTGTTGGTGAAACCCATCAGCCAATTGCGCACAGCAGCGTCGCCACAAACAGCCGTGGACTGGAGTGACCAAATTATTATTGCTTTTTTTAAAAATGTATTTGGCGTGAAGCCTATTTGCGCAATAAGTAATTTAGTGTGTAAGAGCGTAAATAGAACTTCAGCCATTCACACTGGTTTGACTCTTGCATTTAATGACTGAAGTTTCAAAGGATGGACAGTTAACAGATTCCACTCCCGATGGTGGAAAAACACTGTGATGGATAGGCTGCTGGTATTCTAATGCGTTGATAAATCAGAAAACCTTTCAGAGATTCCTTATCGCATGCTCAGCCAGAAAACAAATGCCAGGAAGTAAATTCGACATTCATTTGTACTCGCAACCTCGTCACTAACTCTATCTCCGAAGATGGCAGTGAATTTTGCCAATGCAAAGAAATTGACAATCATGCAATGCAGACATGGCCAACTCTCACTTTATTAATATTAATAACAATAATAACAATCCTTGCATTTGATATAGTGCCTTATCACGTCTTCGAGACGTCTCAAAGTGCTTCGCTCTCGATTCTCCAGCTGGCATGGTACACAATAATAACGTAGCAATCCTTGCATTTGAAGCAGTGCCTTATCATGTCATCAAAACGTCCTCAAATTCTTCACAGGACCTTCACAGGCCACCAAACTTTCCTACCAAGCTGAGAATTGCAACCCCCAAAATATTTGTAGCAAACGCGATGCGAAAAGGGAACCGAAGAAATGGCACCACCTTATTTTTATCTCGACAGTTCATGCAAACTTTGTTTGGTTTGGTCGCACAACGTGGAATGGATTCTGATTGATAACAATCCAGTAAGTACTGAGAACTGAAAGCAAGGCGTATCTGAGGGTGTCTGGGTTAATCTGCAGGCCTGTTGGCACTGGCTTCTTCTTATCTTGGTTACCGCTTCGCATTGTGTTGAACTTTGCTCTGAGAGGATTCAAATGGAGCAGATTCCTTATCTTGAAAAGGCAACAGTCATGTCCTTTAACAATAAACAATAATGGTCGCTCCCGCTGGGGCAATTTTTTTGTAAAAAAAAGTTTGGGTGTATAAGCGATTAACCTTTCGATAGGTTGCTCGAGTACAACAATCTCTAACCACAGTAAGCGATTTTTCAGAAAGCAGATAGGAATTCTGCAAAGTAATGTGCAAGGATTCTAATTCATATTCTTGTAAAGTGCTGACCACATCACTCCCACCCTCGCTCGCCTCCACCAGCTCCCCATCCCCCAGAGGATCGAATTCAAGATCCTCACCCTCACCTACAAGGCCATTCACGGCCTCGCTCCCTCCTACCTCTCCGACCTACTATCCCCCTACTTGCCCGCCCGTACCCTCCGTTCCTCTGGCTCGTGAAAGCCGGGCCTTCAGCCTCTCAGCCCCGAGGCTCTGGAACTCCATCCCCCAGTGCCTTCGCCGCCTCCTCCCTTTCTTCCTTCAAGGCCGGTCTCAAGACCTTTCTCTTCGACCGTGCCTTCAGCTCCCCTCTCGACTCTCTACCCCCTCCTCGCTCCCTCCCTTCCCTGACCATTTCCCCCCAATGCTCGGGTCCTGACCCAACTGTACAGCGCCTTGGGACGTCCTCCCGACGTGAAAGGCGCTCTATAAATGAAATCTTGTTGTTGTTGTTATTAACCTTCCTTCGCACAACCCAACACTGACTACAAGAATATTCAACTGTCTTCCTTGTGTTCCCAACGCACCTGTTCCTTCCTCGCTTCAATATTTCTTCCTAAAAGACCGTGCGTGATGGTTCTGCATTGTTGAGCTGAATTGGGTTTCACTCTTTCTCTGCATCCTGAGTCTTACAGCACCATCTGGCTGGTTAGTCACAGATAATACTTCATGCCCCTGAACTTCTAAAGCGGGTTTCACTGGGGGTGAAGGGCAGCTACTTTGTTCAACACAAGGATGCTCCTTATTGAAGAGGAGGATTGAACTTGATGGGATCTTCTGTTGGCCCACAGCCAGTTGAACGCTTCTCAATCGTCAAACCGCTTTGTATATTCGGTCGATCTGACTGGACTCCTCCCGCACAGCTTCTGTTAACCTCGCAAGCCAAAGCTCTAATCCGTAGGGTAGTCAACAGCGAAACAGTTGCTGGATTCCCCGACAGGTTAAAGCTTGATAAGATGGTTAAAGCTGCTTCAACATCAGCGGCGAGCAGGAAGTGACATAGGGCGTAGGCATGAGGGAAATGACGTAGGCAGCCACTGTGGCGACACAGGACATGGGCACTGTAAACAAAGCCATGAGGATGAGGGGGGAGTTATGGAATTGCCTTGCAGGATTATTTCCCTTATAGCCTTTCCGATCCTGTCCGTGGCAGGTCCTTTGCTAAGAAAATAAACACGTGGGAGGGATACCCACTCCAAACTCTCACTCTGGTGCCAAACGTTTCATCGAGTATTGGTTTTAGGGAGACACAGTACCCACCCACTCCACGTTGTGTGCCAGAAATGCATGAGCCATCACAACGCAACACTTGCATTAAAGCAATATTGCACCACAGTGACTAAATCACGAGCAGGTGGGCGAATGCAATAGTTAATTTGCGCACAGCAATGTCCCACAAACAGGCATGGGTTGGGTGACCAATTTTATTTGGAGATTGTTGACCAGAACACTGGGAGAAACTCCCTTCCGGATAATGGAAGAATTAATTACATGGAGTGAATGGGCCAGTCAATGGAACGTGTCATTTGTATTGAAATCTCTCCGCTATATAATGGAGTCAGTTGGGTGTTATGGGTGTGGAATTTCCTACAGCTTTACTTCTATATTGGGATGGGTTGGTCTAAATGGTTGAGGCTCTAGGGTAATTTACTAATGAATGAATGGGTGTGTATTCCACAGTGTGTGAGGGAGAGAAAGATAAAGAGAGAGAGCGTGCGAGCACACAAATAAACTAGCGCGAGAGAGACAAGTGGAGACGATAGGACATCAAGTGTGACAGTAGGACATCAAGTTGGAGTGAGAAAAAAAACGTGATGGAAATTCTGCTGATAATCACAAAGGTTCTCGACCTCCCATTCATCTCATTCTCCCAATGACGTAAATTAGCGTCTGACTCCTCGTGTGTGGAATGGTGACCACCAACACATAAACCATTGATACTCAGTACAGAGCACTGTTAAGCCAATGATTTGGTGCCTCTGCTTATAATGGGAGAGTTTTATGGGTGAGTCAGCCCTATGATGGCTGTATTGACTGATTGTGCAAACTCTTCTCTCACGAGCGACCAATTTAAACTCTGATGGAGGCCCAGGGAGGAAATCTCACAGATGGCTACTTTCACCAAACGTTTACTCAGATCCCAGAGATCCTAGAAATGAATACTGAGGAAGAAAGCTTACATTTCGCAATATTTGTGTTTTTTTTCATTCATTCATTTATTCATTCATTCATTCATTCATATTTCAAAACGGTCAAGTGGCAATTGGTTACAGTTAATGCACCTTAAAGTAGTATTACCCGACCACTTTTGACCCACAAGGGGTGGCGAAAAGGGGCCCTTTTTATACCGAACATTCACACAAGTCGACGTAAGTCTGCGTTAAGTTAATATTTTGTTCCCAGCAGCTACCGAGAAGCGAGATTCATGGTTTGGCCATAAATCAATAAATATTCAACCGTCAAAATAAAAATTTTGTTTGGGGATTGGCCGACCAAAAAGGTTGGCCATCACTGCCTTAAAGGACACGCATATTAGGCTAACGTTCAACTCTTCGCGCAGTCCTCAAATGTTGTATAAAATGACTAGTTTTTCACTGCCTACAACTCAACCAGCATATCCTCCTCCTTAAACCAACACACTGTCAATACTAACTACCTTATACTCAGCACTTCTTCACACAGTGTTAAAAATCAGTCGTTTGCTCCTTGTGATAACAGATGGCAAATGTAAGTGCTAAATGTATTAACGATAGCTCCTCCGTGGTCAATATTTGATCTGTTTCAGACGGCAAGTTGCTTTTCACTGGGCAATAAAAGGTTTACAAAAAAGTTTCCTAATTGTTAAACCTCCAGCTATCTTTTTATACCATAAGCGCAACCTCTGTGCATTTGCTTTAAGTCACGTTTGCAAACAACTGCACTTGCGCTGTTACCACAAAGGCAATGGATGATCTGAAGCTGATAGCAAGTTGTGTCAGTTTTTGAATCAGTGGGTATTTCTACAAGTGTTCAGTTATTTTCCTGCCTGAACGTTTAAACCTGGTATCCTTAATCCCTCCACCTTGCTCCCTCCTTCGTTTAGACCACGACTGAAGACCTTCCTCTTCCGACCGTGCTCACGGTCACCTCCTCCCTCCCCCCCCAGCACTGTTAAGCTCCCCGAGACCCTGCCCCGTGGGAAGGGCGCCATATAAATGCAAGTTGTTGTTGCTGTGCCGTTGAATCAAGCATTGTAAAGCGCAGGAGTGAGAAGGAGGAAGTAAAGCGATTGCTCTCCCAAGTTGTTGTGCTCAGGGCGTAAGTAAGCCATCCGATTAACAAGCACAGAAACCTGATCAGTGTCGACAATATTCCTGTCCGCCTGCACGACCCACAGCCAGCAAACGCCGCCACGAGCACGGCTTCTGGTTATTTATTTATTTTTTTAAAAAAGAAAGCAATTTATTACGGGTGGAAATGGTCGATTTAAAAAACAAAACAAAACAAAAAAAACCAGCGCAGATCAATCAGGGAAGAGATGACGCAGAACCAAGACTGCAAACAGCACCGACTGCCAATGCAGTCAAAGGCCATGACTCATGGAAAATATACACAGGAACATAAGAGTTAAACCAAAACACTGCAACGAAACAAGGAGAAACATTTGCCGATTTAAGAGTCAATGAACCAACCTGATTTTTGTTTAAAATCAAGTCCAGTGTATAATACCTGCTTAGTGTTACAGAAAGCATGGCTGTTTGTTGTCAAGACTTTTCCCCCGGGGATAGATTTGTTTTAAAATAGTCCTCCCGTTGTGCAAATTGTTTGAAGCCGGCCACTTCCACTTCAAACCCTTCGGACTTTTTGGGGCGACGGATCTTCCCGCAGACTTCCACTTGACACTATCTCTGCTTCGTTGCGCCGCCCTCTCTCTCTCTCTGTCTCTCCCATTTGCTCTGGGGCGATTTTGTTTCATCAGACATGAGAGAAGTGACTGCGTGGAGCATAAAGGCGGCAGCTACGAAAGAGCTGGCCTCTTCTGGTTTGGGAGCCAGCGAAAAACATATGTGAAAAAAGTAGGCAAGGCTTCTCGTCGGCAAGTCACGTGGTTCCTTTCTGTCTTGCATGCCAAAGATTTTTGTGGTGAAAACAAATGGCTATTTAACCAGCCCGTGCATGCATGCCTTTTAACACAGGTGTTGAAAGCTCCCCGTTCACATGCAATCGTTCGATTAGCAACGACCGAACGTGACAGACATCCGATCGGGTTTGATTGGAATTGCCCCGCACCCCACCCCACCCCACCCCACCCCCTGCTTCTCCTCCACCGCACCCCTTCCTCCCGGATTCAGAACCTCTTAACGGTTCATTTGTACAATTCGAGACGCTCTGTAACTGCTCGGATCCCATTCCACAGCTGCGGGTTTAATTGTGTACATTCAAGGTCTGAAGTCAGCCAGGCCTTCGGAGTCGAAAGCAACAAAAGCGCATGCTCAAAAGTCGCCACACATGCAGTAAAGCTGTGCAGCTGTTTCAAACCTCGGTTAAAGAGGCAACCTTTTTTTTTCCCGAACGGCGAAATTGTCGAATTTCGGCCAGAACAGATTTTGTCAGCGCTTTGATTTAAGCCACGAGAATCGCTCTCGTCGGCCCCTCCAAATTATCGCCCGCCATTTCTTTCTCTAAAGAGGGAGGAGGGATGGAATCGGGCCAAGAGCGCGCGTGGGGAGCGGTTTAAACTTTCGAACGGGATTCGCTTCGAAATCCAGCTCGCGGAAACTTTGCTCGAAGGGGGTGGGATGGGGTGGGGTGTGGGCTGGGCTGGGGGGCGCGGAGAGAGGGTATCAGTGTTAGGCGGAGAGGAGTTCCCTCGACTCGACATGACGGAACTTCTGGTTACTGGTTATGAAAGATTTCCGTATGGAATAGCTGGAATTTAGACCCCGGGATCGGAATGGGATCTCCCCCGGCCTCACAGCTTACAGCTACTTGTGGCTCTGATGGGAGCGGCTCACATGCTCTACACACAAAGCACAAACATGCCATGTACCTCAGCAAAGATCTGGGAGAGAAAGACGGGTGTCTTTTCGGTGGCCTTCTACCGGCTCTGTGACCTTTTATGGGCATTGTGTTAATTCGTTCAAAGTGTACCTTTTTGCTGGCAGGAAGAGACGGAGAGTGAAGCAATCAGAAAAAAAAACGAGGGAAGAAAGACAGACTTGAAGAGAAGGAAACAAATGGAAACTGAGAGTTAACTCCACTCGCTCGTTGACTTATTAACGACGCATCTTAAGACAAGTTCCAGCGACGAGAAACTTGGGGACAAATGGAATCACAACCGAAGCTTATTAAACGTGCGCTCTCCTCTCCTGTACTGAGGCAGAGTTTGCATTGATGGCGAGACGTGTACTTGCTCCAGATTGCATTGGACGGAAAGCGCATCCTTGCAGGTCTCTTCACTACAGTTTGGCACAGGGCAGTTTGCAGTGCTTCACTAAGTAGCGACAATATTAACCAACCCACCAAAATGCCTCTCCTGCGATTCAGGGACATAGAATGACACGGATTGTACATCGACACAGACCGACATGTTTATACTCCACATGAGCCTCCACCCCTCCTAATCTCTCTATTCCCTTCTCCCTTATGTGTCCATTCCCTTTGCCTTCATGTAAGTCAAACCTTGATAATCACCAACAACTGAAACACGTACACCTGCACCTCCCACAGACTCACTCCCCGGCTTAGGAGGAAATGGACTTAGCGTTAGCTAAGGGGCAGTTTGATCCTCACTACATTCCAGCGCACCAACGATAAAGCAAGGTCTTGGAGAGAGATTGTTTCACACGCAACTATGATACACTAAACAGCCTTAAAGCCGCAGAATCAAATGCCGATGAGCGGGGACTGACACATCAAAGGCTTCGGCCAATTATCTCAAGTGCATTACATGGTACAGTTCATTAAACGAACCCGAAAGTGAATCAAATTTTACTGGAAGTCACTCAAAATCTGAACACGCACGTCGGATAGGGAATTGTATTGGACGCTAGCACAGTTACTGGGCTGGGCGGAGATGGACTGTGAGGAGGTCCATCTCAGTGATTATCCCTGTTAAACTGTTTAACCGATCGCCGACGCTGTGCCAATAAGCCATTTTATTCCTTATTCGGGCAGAATCACTTACGTTGATTACTGAAGGGAAAGATGGTGAAACCGACCGGTAAATAAAGAAGGCGGGTCAATGGTCGAGGTGTAAGAAGAGAACAGGACTGTGCTGGGCTCTGAGGCCCTCATGTTGACACCCACCCTCAGAAGTTCCACTCCTATTTTCTCCCCAAAAGGCAGGTTCCCGGAGGAAATATTCCTAGTTGCAACCCATGTTCTACGGTTTCCCTGCCCATCCTAACCTTTTCCAAAAGAGAAGCTCAGCACTTGCCAAGGCGATGTGCTTTATCCCTTAACCCTCCAAACTGTTGGCTTCTGATGTATGCCACATGACATTATATACATAACCCCCACCTCCCCCTTCTCCTTGGCTCGGTGTCAGACTCCGCCACTGTGAAGCGCTCCAGGACGCCACCCCACGTGAAACGTGTTATATAAATGCAAGTTGTTGTTGTCGTTGCTGTTGACTTCATCTGGACTGAGAGCAAATGCGGATGAGCTGGGTTTAACTTAAACGCTTAACACAATGGCAGAATGGGTCATTCTCAAGCTTAATGTTTGAGGTTCGAGATCTATTCTGTTAAATGTTTTGGTTTGCCCGATACACAGATCTAGTGATTTTCATCAAAAAGCTGTAATAATAATAATAATAATAATAATCCTTGCATTTGATATAGCGCTTTTCACGTCTTCGAGACGTCTCAAAGCGCTTCACAGAGTATAGTGTAAAGTGAATTGACCGTATATTTGTGGGCGAAACGTGGCAGCCAATTGCTCACAGCAGCGTCCCACAAACAATCGTGGATTGAGTGACCAAATTGTCATTTTTTTTTCTTCAGGGATTATTATCAGGCGTGTAGAGTAAGGAAACTTGCCCAAGGTTTCACCCTGCCGGGAATTGAACCCAGGTCTCTCGCTTGCGAGGCGAGTGCTCTAACCACTGAGCTACAGGACTCCACAACATAACAACATCAATGACCATTTGCATAGCGTCCTTCACGTGGATAGTGTCTCGGAGTACTTAAGAAATCTCTAACACTGGAGAAGGACGACCGTGTCATTTATTTTCTGTTGCTTTGGCATTGACGCCAAAGTAACACACTTCCACAAAAGCGTGCTCCACATGTTCTGAACCGGGATTTTACATCAGTGCACTGGAGGAATAGACCTCTGATGGATGGGTTATGTGGTGCACATTTCTGTTTGTGAAGCTACAAAAAAGCCCTACGCAAGCATCTTCACAAGAGTAATAATAATAATAATCCTGGCATCTGCTACAGCGCCTTATCACATCTTCGAGACGTCTCAAAGCGCTTCACAGAATACACTGTAAAGCGTTGTGACTGTGGGCAACACGAGAGAGCAAAGCAAAGGGCATGAAATTCAGCCCGTGCGTTGTCTCTATATGGTCTGGTTTTGCAGGTGGAACAATGAATAAAGAAAAACAAAGGGAAACTTGAATGGATATCCGCTCACTGGTAAACCTCTTAGCTCTTTGCTTCTCTTCCCACACGAGAACGTATGTAGTTTTCAAACACCTAATGTCAAATTTGTATGTATGTCTTGATTCTCTGGAGTTTAAACATGCTCCGTTTAAAAGCAGTCGGATGTTTCTCTAAGCCTTTATAATTGGATTTACTGTTTTCAGGTGTTAACAGAAAAGATTGCTATTTTTAGAAGACCTATAGATTATACTAGTGCTCATAAAAAGAGTATTAGGGTGTGTGTGTGTGTTTGTGGACGAAAATCTTTTCTCTTGCTCTCTGTCCATCCTGAAATACATGCAACAAATGAACCAGATTGTAACTTGGATGAGCATGTCAGTGCAACGTGAGATGTTTGGTGATTTGTATCTCACTTCATTGCCACCTGCTGTTTAATTCTGAACTGCAATAAATGGATCTGGGTTTGACAACAGCACAGCCGCGAGGCTTCGGGGAGCATGACACGTTGTGCGTTCTCCGCACTCTTTATAGAAGTACCAAAGGTCAAGTCTGTGCCTCTCCACTATTATCTTAAAAAAAAAGCACTCTTTGCAAACCATTCGTTTCAATGAATAATACTCCCATCGGTTTGAGAGCCAACAAACACGCAATCAACTCACTTTACGGTGTGAATTGCGAAGCGCTTTGAGACGTCTCGACGACACGATAGGGCTCTGGATCAAACGCAAGGATTATTAATTTAATCGTGTGATTGCACTTGTGGTATGATACTGTGGAGCATTTGAGAACCAAGGAGTATAGTGTTGGTTGCAATGTGCCAGCACAACTGTAGAGATGGTAACACTACAGTTAAAACTCCATTTTATTCATGATGTTAAGTTATAATAATAATCCTTGCATTTGATTTAGCGCCTTATCACAGCGTTGAGATGTCTCAAAGCGCTTCACAGAATACACCGTGGAGCGAGTTGACTGTACATATTGCGGGCGAAATAATAATTTGTGCACGTGATAAGGTACTAATCCTTCCATAATAATAAACATAATTATATTATTATGTATTCAATAATAATAATAATAATAATCGTGATGTAGGGTCTCTAACCATCAAACCGTCTCAGAATGCTTTACTTTGAATATGTTTTTGCGTATGAACACGGCAGCCAGAAGGCGACTGGTGCATTTTATCTGGGGAGACATTGGCCAGAACACACTTGTTAAATATGCTCTTACCTTTTGATGGTCTGGGTTATGGAGGGCTGCCTCTGAAACGTGGGTCGTCTGTGCTCGTTCGGTGTAGAATATATTCGGACGTTTTCGGGCGGCATGCTGACACTGCGCAAGTACCCCTGGCGTCTTAAAGGTTGTGCCTGGGAGGAAAAGAGCCAGTCAGGACCACAGCTGGAGCCTCAGTTAACTTGAACCTCACCAGCCACACCTTCGACCTGATTCTAAGTGAAATGTACCCAAATCCCTGCCCCACCCTCTGCCCAGCTCTGACCTCCCTCCGCACCATTAACAGTTCCAGCTTGCCAAGCAGGTTGTTTTAATAATAGTAATAATAATAATAATAATCCTTGCACTTGATATAGCACCTCATTGCATCTTCGAGACGTCTCAAAGCGCCTCACCAGAACATACCGGAAAGTTCAATTGACAGTACATTTTGCGGGCGAAACGCGGCAGCCAATTGCGCACGGCAGCGTCCCACGAGCAGTTGTGGATTGAGCGAACACCTTATTATTCTTTTTTTGGACGGGTTTATTCTGTGTTCAGAAGGTTCCAACGTGCAAGTGATAATCATGTTTTATTTTATTTACACTCCGTGAAATCTTTGACGGAAGCTCAAAGCAGGGTTGGCATAGACTTTGTACGTTACGCTGTCTGGAAGACAGTGTTTTGTATAATTTCTCCTGCAGTGCACCCACTTTTGCACGGAACTGAATTTGTGGTCCTCAATATCATAGCACTGGTTATGGGGTACTACATCTGATACGTTATGGCCCGGTGTCCTTCACCACCAAATGCAACCAGTACAACATGACACAAAAGATCTGTTGTGTGAATTGACCCAGAAAGCTGTGAAGCTCTGTTGCCCATAGCCTTTCTTCTGAAGAGCCTTTTAACATTTGCTGTTGAGTCTTTCCCTGCCTTGATCCTAATAATAATCCTTCCATTTGATAAAGCGACTTAACACCTTGTCAAGATGCCTCAAGCGCTTCACGGGATTCACTGTAAATCGGAAGGAATTAATCCGCTTAAATCTTCCATCCAAACCGCCCCGAAGTGTTTCAAAATCATTTTCACAGAAGAGAATGATTTTGAGGTTGACGGGCCACCATGTTCATTGCCAGCACAGGGTTACATGACTGTCTATGTAGCATTAATATGAACATAAGAAGTAGGAGCAGGAGTAGGCCATTTGACCCCTCGAGCCTGTGCCCCGCCATTTAATAAGATCACGGCTGATCTTCTAACCTAATTCCATTTACCCGCCTGATCCCCATATCCCTTAATCCCATTAGTTTTTAAAAATCTATTGATCTCAGTCTTGAATATGTTCAAGGACTGACTGAGAATCCACAGCCTCTGGGGTAGAGAATTCCATAAATTCACTACCTTTTGAGTGAAGAAATGTTCTAAAAGGCTGACCTTTAATCCTGAGACTATGACCCCTAGTTTTAGATTCTCTAACCCGGGGAAACACTCACACTCTCTACCCTTAAGAATCTTATAGGTTTCTATAAGATCACCTCTAATTCTAATTAAACAGGTCGGAAGATAGGTGGCTCGATTCCTGATTTGGCTGGTCTCAGCCAGGGCAGCAGAGCAGAAACTTAGGGGTCATCTACGTGAGATATAAGTTCCGTCTCCCGTACCTCATCTCCTGGCTGGTTGACGGGGATTTGCAACGTGAGCCAAGGTGGTTTTTTCTTCTGTAAGCTGCTCGTGCTATCTCGACGCTCCTCAGCCATCTTTACAGTTCAAAGTTTGATGCCTGGTAGGGAGAGGAAAGGAAACATGGTTTAAAAATTATCCTTTAAATCCACTCATGTATTAAGTACAATTCTCTCAATTCTATCAATGGAGTCCTGTAGCTCCGTGGTGAGAGCACTCGCCTCGCAGGCGAGAGACCTGGGCTCGATTCCCGGCAGGGCGAAACCGTGGGCAAGTTTCCTTACTCCACACGCCTGATAATAATCGCTCAAGAAAAAAAATAATTTGGTCACTCAATCCACGACTGTTTGTGGGGACACTGCCACGTTTCGCCCACAAAACATACAGTCAATTCACTTTACAGTATATTTCGTGAAGCGCTTTGAGACGTCTTGAAGAAGTGATAAGGCGCTGTGTCAAAGGCAAGGATTATTATGATATTATATAGACAAAAAACTTGAATCCGGCATCTTAGCCTGCTTTGATAAACCCCAGCTAGCGGTTTTAACTTAGAAGTTTGGTGAGGGTTCGTTTGCCAATGTTGACGGTTCAATTTTCGCCCAAACAGCTGCGTCGCTTGAAAAATAAAAGATTAATTAAAAAAACTGCCAGTCTCTTCAGGGTTAGCAGTTGAGAAACCTGAACCGGAGCCACTCAACAATAACGCGTGGTGAAAGCCATTACCTAATATAGGGGCAGAGTTTCCATCAGTCTGAAACAGAGCTACTGCATTTGGCCATCGCACTGGGCTCTCTGCCCACATCTCCCAAAGGAAACCAGGGTACAATAGTCAAACACTACAGTGTTTATGTAAATGTTGTCACCAAGGCCTCCAGCAATTATTGGATGACACAATGAGAACATTGAGCGCTCTGAAAGCCGGAGAGGCCACTGGGAAGGGATCGGATTAATTCATGCATTAGCTCAGTTCTAGCTAGAGTCGGGTAATAATAATAATAAGCATTGCATTAGATATTGCGTGTTTCGTAACGGAATGTCTCAAAATGTGTGTCAGGCCTGGAGTCGTGGTAGCGCTCTTTTTTAAGGAATTGTTATCCCCGGAAAAGCGATCCGCCAAGCGACTAAACAGGGGTAAAGGTAAACAGAGGCATGTGCGCGTGTGTGGAGTAAGGAAACTCACTCCACACACTCCAATGCGGTGCTGGGGGAAGTGTTGCTTTGTCGGAGGTGCCGTCCGTCAGATCAGACGTCAATCCCAGGTCCCGTCTGCCTGTCCAGGTGGACGTTAAAGATCCCATGGCGTCTATTCGAAAAGAGAAGGGAGTTTCTCTCTCCCAGTGTCCAGGCCAACAAAGTATTTGGGTGTCCAGTCAGCTTTCTCCCAGCAATGTAATTGCTGACCACGTGATAGGAAAAATCTATTCGGTCCGGGTTACAATTTAGAATTTATCTTCATTGCCACTAGATGGAGACAACTGAACTCAACAAGAAATGCAGGAAAACTCGTGTCCTGCTTTCTTATCTGTCCTGCTGCTGGAGACCAGACTGGAGACAATCCTCGCGTGCCTCTGCGTGAACTCACGTGAACTAAGTGTGGAAATCTCGACACGGAATTTCTTTCATTAAATTGTGTGTGTGTGTGCGTGTGTGTTTGTCGAGGGGTGGGTGGGATGTCAAAATGAGAGGGAGTACACCTGAAAAGCCATGGGAAAGAAACTCCCTTCTTTTGTTGAATAATGCCATGGGCATCTTTAACATCTATCTCAACAGACACAGACATGATGTCGCAATGTAGGATGGTTCAAATCACTTATCCTTGTAAGCTTTTACAGAAATGAATTGCCCTCTGGGTAAAGAAATACTTCCTGGAGTCTGTCAAGAAATTGTTCTTTGCAACCTTAAATCTGTGTCCTCTTGTTCTGTCTCGGTACATCTGAAAGTATTGTTCTCAATCCCATAAAAAAAGACTTGTACACCTCTATAAAGTTCTCACTCAGATGGCTTCCTTTCAAGACTGAAGAGCTCCAGTTGTTCCAACATACATTGGCCTTCAAGTAACAAAAGGTTTAATTCATTTTAATTATAGAGCATGGCTTTAACAGAACATTGATTAGATTAAAATCAACAGAATTCCTAGACTTCTGCTGGCCACAGTCTTCCGCTCTTATATTTCCATAAACTTTTCTTTGCTGCTATAAATAGCTGGAGTCAACGAATCCTGTGAAGCGCTTTGAGACGTCCTCCCAATGAGAGAGGTGCTACATCAAACACAAAGATAATTATTCATCTCTCAATAATGAACGCTTCAGGGTAGCATTAACTGGACTTGTAAATTTACAAAGCAACCATTTTAATCTTTACATCATGTACGTTTAATCAATTACACATTTAACAGAGGCCAAGTCCCCATATTCCAGGTGAACACCTCTTTTGACATGTATTGTAGTTTTCACTACACCAACATTCAGCTCAAAGCACTTCAATGGGAATCTCTGCCAAGTCTGGATTTGTAGGCAATAACTGTATTTGTAGGGAAATGCGATAGCCAATTTGAACACAGCAAAATTCCACGAAAAGGGTAAACTGTTCATTTTCTGTTCCCCCTCCACCCCCAAATTGAAGCAATCCTTCTCAATACAAAAAAAAAGCTGCAATCTCAACATTCGAACAAACCCAATGAACGTAACCCTCACAGATTTCAGCCCCTTGGTCAGACACCAAATTGCCTCCTTATCATCTACCCACAGTGAGCTGTGTTCTTAGAAGCTTCTGATTGAATCTGGTTCTCGGCACAAACATCTCGTAACGTGAGGATGTAGTTTCTGGAGGTTGCATAGCAGATTCGACCCCTGCCCTGCAAGTAGGTTAGTCAAAGGCAGTGAGGCAAGCTAAAAAAGCCAGAGCTCCACATGACTTCATAACTACCCAAGAGATTTACAGTGATAAAGGCAGATGACACATGGAATCCGATTGCAAAATGCTCAGTCATTTGGGGCAAACGTTCCGGTTGTTGAACTGGGTGACCGTTGGGTTTTAGCTCAATAGATATTGCACTGCTTCCTTTGGTTAATGGACTAAGCAGTTTCTGACATGTTTCATCAGCAGATCAGACATAGAGGTGGTTGGTTTATGAGAGGAAGCAGAAGGTTCTCGAAGGAAGCCACAACATTGATGTAAGACTCCCCTTTGTCCGACAAAACTGTGACGTGTCCTCAGAGATCACACCACACGCAACCAGTCCTTACACTTACGTCCAACGCTTTCGAGGCTTAACATTTCCATTTAAAACATTTTCTGTCCCAGTTCTTTGACAGCTGTGGCAGTGATTTGTTCTCTGAAGCGAGAGAAAAAAATGAGGCCCGGGATCTTTCTAAGTCGTTAGTGAAAAAGAGAGTTCCAACATCAGATGCATATCTTTAGGAGTGCACCACATAGTCTTTCTTGCAACTGAGATCCAATGGATTTGAAGAGACGAGGCCTCTGATGAGATGTTAAACCAAAGTGCCGTCTACCTGTTCAGGTGGACGTCATGGAATTATTTGAAAGGAGAAGGGAGTTTTCCTTGGCGTCCTGACCTATATTCCACCAGATAAGATTGGTCATGGCTGTTTGTGGGACATTGCTGTGGTGCAAATTAGCTGCTGCACTGGCAAATACACAGTCGCTACACTTCACAGTAAGTGTGAAGCGCTTTGAGTCGTTCTTCCCTGATTAACCGGGGCAATCGACACGGGACATGGGGCAACCCTTAAATCTGTTCGCTTTGCGATTAGCCGGCCTTTAAAATGTAATGGTTTAATCCACTGAAAAGAAAGAGACGTCTGAAAGTGCCTTCAGTTTCCACTACCTATGTTGTAGCTCGTTCCATATGCCTTGAAACACGCATTACCCAACTTCCTGATCCAATCTTGCAGCAGAAATGCGAAACGGGGAAGTTGAGAGAAAAAGCTTAAAAAAGCAAGCTGGTGTAAATTTAGCTTCGGCATTACATTCTACATTGAGGATGTGGCTTTTTTTTAAAACAAAATAAGCATTTACACATAAATAACCCAACTATCCCAGAGGAATACTGAAACTATTGGCCTTTGAAGGGACTGCATTACCCCTTGTAGGCTCCATTTCTTAAGCTGTTTTTTGGGGGGAGTTTTTTTTTGTGTTCTGTACAATATACTGAATCAACTATTAGATGAATTAAATCATGAAGGCGGAAATGCTTTGAATCGTTGAAACATCTCAAAGCGCTCCGCGGGATTTACTGTAAAGTGCAGCGATTGTGGATCTCGTATTTATTTGAATGTCTTTATTCTTTAGATTGCAGGTCCTGGATAGGACACGGGAATCAGTGAGCTGCAGAGGTCATTTCCAGTGAAGTGATGGGCTCTTTCATGTCTTAAGCCCTTGGAATTCTGTCGTCAGCCAGCGTAGTTAAGGAAGGAAATGCTCCGTGCTTGATTGATGAGCTGCACAGGAACAGCTTACAGGGACCGTTGACATGTTTGTCAGGACTATAGGCTTGAAATTCCGACTAATCTTAGCCCGCAAAACCAGGTTGTCTTAAAATATAAGGTGGCGCAGAACTGTGGAAGGTTCTTAAATCCAGTTTTAATTTGGAAGCTGGTTCTTTGAAGAATCACGGCAAACCTGCTTCCAAATTAAGCATTTAAAGATTGCAACCTTGTGCGATCTCAAAACCTAAGGCAAAGGAAAGATGGTCTTACAGGCTAATACTAGGTGGAATTTCAGGTCTTGACGTGTGATGGTTTCGTTCCAGCACATTGTATTGTCAGGAGCCACCTATATACACGTGCATTTTAATGAGCATCATTGTGTAATGGATTACCCAGAAGCAATCGATGAACCTACAACTGAGCAATGGTGTAAGGAAGTGCTCCCACCTCTCAAACCATCCAGTCACATTGCTATGAAATGAGTGGTCACCACAGGTGTGTGTGTGTGTGTGTGTGCGCCTCATGCATCTTTACTGTGGTTCCAGTTGTGTAAGGTTAAATGAATCGTGTTGAACAACGCTCTTTTTTTCCGTGCAGCCAAAATAGTCTCCAAAGGTCAAGTGCTGGTGGTTAGAAAGCAACCACTGGCGCT